TCATGTGTAAAGTAGCCTAACTGAAGTAAGAGGAACTTAAGGCTATCAGAAGTCATGGCTAATTTTTCCCAGTGATTCCAGTGAATACACTCCAGTTATGATACCTTTATTCACCTTAGCTATTATTTCTCCCAAATAATTCTGGTGCTAAGAGTTGATGGAAAATACCTATTTGCCCCAAAGAGTTACAATTCTCTGAGTGGTTTACCAGTCAATCCCTCTTCCCCAAGAACTCTGGAACTTGCGCCTCTCTTTGTAAGGAATAGATGTCCACTAATAGCACCCAGAAGCTGTGAGAAACTAAACCCCAAGATTCTTTGTGGAAGGAATGACTGTTTCAAGTGGAATAAAAATGTTCTAAAAGTGTGGTGTGAAAGCAGGGGGAATGGGGGTAGTTTTTGGAGCAGGAAAGGCAAGCTGACCACATGTTGCTAAGGAGCAGAGGCTGACCATGAGGGACATAGAAAACACGTGTGCGTGCCTGGCCAGCCAATTCCCAGGAACTGTTGGGAACTGTCAAAAAAACATCACTGTCTTAACTCGCTGATTTCAGGACTCCAACACAGTGGCAGCTGCCAGCCACAAACCAGCAAATCCAGTCTCTTGAGAGGTGGTGGGGAGAATCAGGAACAGGAACCCTGGCTTCAGGGATCCAGTGACCCTCCCTGAGCCCCCCTCGAAAATAAGTGGGGGCACCCCAACCCCCAAGGGCCCCCTCCACCACAGCCTTGAAAAAAAAACACTAACCAAAACTGCACATTTCCCCCATAGGCTCAAGTCTTAAAAATCCAGGTGGGGTGTTTACACATTATCATTCCCCTCCCCACTATTAGAAAGATTTGCACAATTCACTTTAATGTACATCAGCACTAACCCAGATATACAAATTATGCACACAGAACAAAATTCTCCTACAAAGTAGATGACAGAATGAAAGGTGCCTGGCAATCCAGAAAACAGAAACAGGAAAAAAAATCCTACTTAGAACACAGGAGGTCAATAGAATTCACCAACCTTTCTTTATAGCCATTTTACAGGCTCAGGCAGGCAACACTGATAGAAAGATCATTGAGTGATCCACATGGTGGCAATATGACCTCCCTACAGAACATGTAGTTGTATCAGATTATGCAGGCATATATCCTTATTTCTGTTGTCTTTTTGCAGCTTTAATTTCCCAGTTCTTCCTATATACATTTCCATACATTATTCATTACTTAAATGCTGACACTGTGGCATTTTTTAAAACTCCAATAGTCCCAAGTTTTTCTACCCACAGTTATAGCTTTTCATTATTCCCCATGAGTGCAGAAAGACTACTGGGATTGTTTGTGGTGCTCTGATGTTCAGGTTGTTGTGTGAAATGTAAAGGACAGAGAAAAGTTGTTGCTTATCAACTACATATGCAGTAATGGACCCTGTCCATACACTTTCTCTAACAACAGTTTTTTCTAGATGAGGCTTACTTGGCGCCTTAATGATACATGAGGCAGACGTACAGAATACATCCCTATATGCTTCATTTTTAGTCTCCAAAGAATTTTGTGTCTACACCCCACAGCAGAGAACTGCAACTTTTAAGGATGCAATCCAGCAAGTCTGTATTGAATTTCAGAATGTCTAAGGTAAGACATTAGTCAAATACAGCAGGACCCCCTTTAAATATGTAAAAGGAAAAAAGTTTAAATGCAATCAAAAACTAAATATGAGATTCAATAATATGATTAATACAAGTACATTATTACTAGATGTTTCGGAGCCTGTTGAGTATGACACTTACAGCAACAGCACTAAAGGAAATGCTGTCACTTCCTGGTCACTTATTTTGAAATTCTGGAATGCAAGAATCAATTTATTAGTACCTTCTTCGGAAAAAGAATGCAGACTATTTCTTCATTGTTGAGTCCTAAGATCCATAATCTCTAGGGAAGGAAGAGATAGGATTTAATGAGCAAACTTAGAAACTAAAACCAAAGTAAAAATAAATAGGAAATCTAATGAAACACAGATATTCCTAGGGAGCCAGAATTAGCTGTAGCATCCTATCATATGACAAACCTAAGTTTTATTCCTATGTATCGCATGAAATGGCACATAATAAACTGAGGCTCCTTACCTTTTATGAAGGTAACAGGAAGAAGAAAGGATTTTAACAACTTACAAGTGTGTGTGTGTGTGGGGGGGAAATTCCAGGGCATCAGAAGGGAGTAATTAGTGTGCATTTAAAGTACTGAGTCAGTTGTTCTCCTGGCCAACCCTTAAGCACTTCCTTATGTGGGCGGAGAAGTCGTACTACATCTCCATCAACACAGGAACATGCATTATTTCTCAACTGCTCTGTCTCAGAAGAACTTGCAAAACTTTGCTTACGTAGCATATGTCAAGTTTTGCCTTGAAATTTTGTGGCTAAAGTACATATTAGCGCTTAACAGCATCACACTGCTCCCAGAAAACCCATACTTAAAACAAATATACCTGCTTGTGTAGTTTTAGTGATGTTTTGTTGTGATAGATGCAGCTTAAGATCAAGATAAAATAGGTAGCGCTTAATATTTTCCTTTGCAGTAGCTTCTGCTCTGCTCGTCATCGGAACAAGAAGCAGAGTTCTGCACGGCTATACCGAGCAACGCTAGAACCAATGGCCGGAATTGCAGGGAGACCCATTTTGGCTAAGCATTAGAAGCAGCTTCCTGACAGCATGAGCTGTTCAGCAGCAGTAAATGCTACCTCCAGAGGTGATGAGCTGTTTTCATTTAAGTGGATGCTAGACAAAAAGGATGTCTGCAGGATGATGCAGATGTAATGCAGAGCCTGCACTGCGCAAGGGATTGGACTAGATGATCTCCAAGCTCCCTTCCATGATTCTGCACATACATGCATCAGTATCTACCTTCAGCAATATTCCTGAGCTACAAAGAACCCCTGCCCTAGTACAAGCATCTCCTCCCCATCCCCACCTCCACAGTCCGCTCAACAACACAGCCCAGTTCCATAACCTCTTTGCTGATTTCCCAAATACTGGCAACCTACTAAAATTCTGATCCAAAGAGCCAATTAACCTCTAAACAAATTTAAATTCCTCCCCAGTTTGCCCAAAACATTGACGAAGTGTTCATAGTTCTAACCTGGTTTCTTAAGTTACAAGTAATGGGATAGAGAATGTACTTTCCCTGCCATTCATTGGATTTTTTTTCCAATTGCTCCTGGCAGCCTATGGTTTATTTAATCCATAGCCTGTCACCAAATGTGACTTGATAGGCTGACATCTCTGCACAGTTGCCCTGGAATGAAATGTGCTTTACTTCATGAAAGCTTATGCCACAATACATCTCATTAGATTTTAAGGTGCTTCAGAGTTCTTTGTTGCATTTAATGTGCCAGAACACCTCCCTGGAAGCTCTCTTTAGGGTATTTCACCCATATATATGATGTCACAGAATGCCAGCATCAATTTGGCAGCAAATTATAGTTCAGTCATGAAAAAGGTAACACTCCATCTTGCTTTTCTGTTACAATAGGTGAGCCACACTTACATTTTAAATCCTAGCAACATCCATTTACTTTTATTTCCAGCAGCCCCCCAAATCTGTACAGTACTTCCAACTTGGAAATGCTAGCAAGCATTTAATAGAATGGTACCACAAAACACACAACACCCACCAAAAGCATCTATGCAATGAAAACCTAAAAACTGTCACACCAATATTCACCATGTACCCTGAATCTTTTTCCTCTTCCCCACAACAAGAACAGACCACAGCCTGCTTAAACCTACAAAATTTATTTGACAACTTTGGTACTCATCATGGACGGCAGAAAACTATGGACAAATAAGAGCCCAACCGATTCCTCAAATCTCTTCCCAGAAACAAAAATATCAAAAAAGCAAAAGCAAACACCTTTTCAGAAATATCAATCACAAAGGGGAGCCCACAATATTATTAGAAGTCCAGCACTTCGCAGAAGTCCTTGATCCATCTCAGGGACATGAGCCACCCCTAAAACTCTTAACATAGGGCAGCCAGCAAACCTTGGGTACAACATCTGTACATCCACGCATGTAAATGTGTCCATATAAATATTGTGTATACAGGGATGCATATACATTGGAAGGCAGCGTGGCAGTGGGTCAGGAAGTGCCACTCGCCAGGCCGGGCGCACAAATGCCCATCGAGCTGGGGTGCTCCCGACCCAGCCTACCTCGCAGGTGTGTTGTGTGAAAGGATGGGAGCCGTGGCGCCATAAAAACCAAGGCCGGGAAGTGTTATTACTATGCTTTATTATCATCATCATCATCATCATCATCATCGCCATCATGATGCCCCGGGAGCAACCCATCGCCGCCCTGGCCAGTCCCCCGAAGCCAACGGCTCTTCCTTCCTTCCTTCCGCGCCAGCGCCCGCTCCCGGCTGACGCTCCAGGCGCGGGGCCGAGGGAAGCGCCCCCTCGAGCCGCCCAAGGCCCTCGGCGTAGGCCACAGGCTGGGCTAGGCCGGGCCGGGCCCTCCCGCTCCCCGCCTCTTCCGACAGCCGCCCGCCGGCCCGCCCCGCGCTCCCCGCAGCCGGCCCGCTCCATCGCCCCCGCGCGGCCGGAGGCTCCCGATCGCCTGCCTTGCCTGCCTGCCTGCCTGCCCGCCTGCCTGCGCCCCCCCCCCCGGTCGGCTGCTCTGTTCCCCGCTTTACCGAGGCTCCCCGCGCTCCCTCCGTCCCGGGCTCGCCCGCCCCGCTCCGCCGCCCTTCCTGCGCGCATCGCCGCGCCGGCCGCGTCCCTGCTTCCGCGGCGCTCCATGGAGCCGGCGAGGCGGCGGCGGCGGCGGCGATGAGGCGGCGGCGGCGGGCGGCACTCGCGGCAGCGGCACCTCGCGACCCGCGGCGCCGCCGGGGCTGCTCCGCGCGGCTGTAACGGAGCCGTCCCTCGGGCAGCGCTTCGCCGGGGCAGGGACCCCCCGGCGGCGGCGGCGGCGGGGCGCTCCCCGGCTCTCCGCCGCCTCCCCTCCTCCCCTGCTCGCCGCCTCCCCGAAGGGCCTTCCCCCAGCACGGAGGATGGCGGCGGCGGCGGCGGCCGCTCCGACCCAGCTGGAAGCCGGTGAGTGCGTGCCCGGGCAGCCGAGCGGGAGCCCGGCCGGCGGGCCGGCGCGGCTCGCCTCGCCTCGCCCGCCCGCCTGCCTCAACCGGGCCTGTTGTCTCCCCTCTCCGCAGAGCTCTACTACCTGATCGCGCGTTTCCTCCAGTCGGGACCTTGCAAGAAATCCGCCCAGGTGAGAGGAGGGGGCGGACGGGGCGGCGGGGGGCGCGGCGGGAGCCCCGGCCGGGCCGCGCCGGGAGCCCGGTGCCCGGGCAGGTGGGGAGGGGGTCCGGCTCGCCCGCCCGCCCTAACGCCCTAACGCCCTTTGTGTGCGCGCCTCTCTCCCTCCTCAGGTGCTGGTGGAGGAGCTGGAAGAGCACCAGGTGAGGTCCCAGCCTGGGGTGTGCGGGGGGGGGCGTTTGGAGGTGGGGTACGGAGGGAGGGGAGGGGATTCCTCATCCGTGCGCGGCGTTTTAGGGGAGTGTCGCCCCCTCCCCACTTCAGGAGCCCCCCTGGCATTGGCCTGCTCCCCCCCACAGCCCTTTTATACCCAGTCACTGATGCTGGGGACCTTCCCTGCGCAGGTATCGCTCTGCCCACTGCACCCCATTGCAGAGGCCTCGGTCGCCCCTGTAGAGGGACATCTGTCTCCTTTTCCATCTCTCCAGCCCCCTTTAATTCGTTTGCCAACTTATTTGATGCCCATCTGGGGGAAACACGCTTGGGGAACCTAGCGCTGCTTGGCTCTGTTGCAGGATGGTTGTGTATTTGGCCCTCATGAGTGGTTAGGGGACTGTGACCCCTCCTCGCCCTAAGGCACCCAGGCAGGTGGGGTTTGCTGGGGAAAAGAAGGGATTTCCCACCTGGGTGTTGCTTTAGGGACACTGCAGTGTCTGTGTCCGTGTGCGAGAGAGAAAGTCTGTTCTGGTTTGGGCGAGGAACTAGGAGCCCTTTCACAGGGCAACCAGATGTCTGTAGGGAAAAATGCTGCTTCTTCCAGGCTCCCCAAAGAAGACAGGGCTCTCTCGCACCAACTGGGACAGATTTTTCTTGCAGCCGTGGGGATTTTATTTTTGCAACTTCGAGGGGCGGGCTATGTTGTGGGTGCTGGTGGCATGGGGTCTTGTGTGCAGGAAAAGCTCAGCGCAGGCTTGGGGGAGACTGGGCTGGTATGGGGGCTGTTATTCCTTCTGCTCCACACACGTTACTGGGCTTCTGCTCCTTTCTCCCACCTTAGTTGATCCCTCGACGCCTGGATTGGCAGGGCAAAGAGCACCGGAGAAACTTTGAGGACCTGGTGAGTGAAAGTTGGCATTTCTACTTGGGCAGAAGGGAACTTCCTCTAAGCGAGGAAAGCTGGGCAGAACTCGTGTTGAGAATACGGCCTTCCTATCCACAGATCGAGCAAAAAGTCTGGGAAATGCAAGGATGGTTGGGCTCAGCTGTGCAGTAATGCTGGGTTCTATTTTCTGTCTTGATTTTTTCCCTGAGAGGTATCTATTGTGGAGGGTTATTTGAGGGCACGTACAAGGGGTTTCAGTCCAGGCCAATGGTGCGGTGCCTACCAGCATCGAGTTCCGCGTTTGCACATGAGAGTTGCTTGCTGATTGGTTGTAGCTTTAAACATAGGAATTGAGCACAGGAGGCTTGTTGGAAGGGTTTTTTTGCTGCAATAGGAAGAAAAATGCTATCAGTTTTGCTGTAGACTGAGTCATTTTAGGTGAAATCAAAGAATTTGATCAAGTGGATTGTGCAAAGTGTTCTACGTCTTGGAATGTTTAGGACGTTACAGAATCCAAATATGCGCTTACATGAGCAATTATTTTGTCTGTGCATGATAATTATCAGTGTGAAAATGTGTGTGTTTCTAAAGATTTGCTTGTGAAATAGAGGAGCAGGAGCCCTGCTTACAGAAAAGGAAGTAGACAGGAGAAAATATAAAAGCTCATCTGATAGAAATCTTTGAGCAGAACTTGGATTATGTTCAATTTATGACTTTGTACTGGTGAATATGTTCAGAATAAAGACTGTACAAACTGTACTGTGAATGCCAAGCACCAGGTGCATTGGTGCAAACTCATCTTCCTAGATCTAGATATAAAATGTAGGTGATATATAGAGTATCTTTATGGGTCTGATGATAAAATGGGCTGTACTGTCAAATTCTGGAGTATGGCAAGTGCTATGCATGAGTATCATTTTCAGATAAGATGGTTTATGCAGGTCATCAATGACGGTTCATAAATGCAAATGTTCCGCACTGGTGTTTTAAAATCGCAGTTTTTCATTTGATGGTTTTATCCGCTTAATTGTACATATGTATCTCTATAGATCAATTGTACTGGCTGGTGGCTGATGCAAATACATTTTGCTTAAAAAAGATAGTGTGTGTGTGTGTGGCAGGGGGATTGTTCTAACCACCCTGCTTTCACAGGCTTGGCTTTTTTGGCATGCTTGTGGTTCTGTAAACCTTGCTGCTTTTGCTTTTTGTCTTACAGAAAACATTGTGTGAGGAGTAGCTTTAATGTATTTATTGCTTTGCACTTCAGTGTGCTGTAAGACAGCAATGCATGTGTCAGTATTTTGCTAGGTAAAGCACATTTACGCCTGGATTAGAGGTTTTGCAGATTTCACTGTAGATTTTCCTTTGAGTAATATTTACATTTATAGCAGTAACCTCCAGCTCTGTTGATACAAGCTAATAGGCATGCTCACTTGATTAGTGATTTCTCCTCACCTCCAACTGTAACTATGATGGAAGATAAGTTAAAATTGCTCAGTTACCAGGACTAATCCCACACCTTGATTCTTATCCTGAAACAAATATTTTTAGGAAGCTAATGAGGGTGTGCTTCTAATATTTTAAATGGAGCAGTGTTTTCCAGATGTTGATTTAATTTTTCTCCTGAAATTAGTGAATATGTAACTCATATAAGCAGAAGAATAAGATCAAATTTAAAAATGTACTTTGTTTGATTAAGACTGAGTGTTGCCTGCTCCCTAGTTAACATTTTCTGGTTTGTTTATGGCTCAGGTTGTTTTTGTTGTTTTCAAATGTTACATGTTTAACACTTGCAAGTAAATTAAACTCTTGTAGAGGCCAAACAGAAAGTAGCCAATTCATGTCTTGCTCAAGGGTTCCTCTGCTACTTACCCTAATTGGGGTTGGGTGCCACAGAAACACATGTGGTATAAGTAATTATGGAAATAAGGTGGTAAAAACCTGCATACACTTCCCTAATTATGCAAACTCATGGAAAACAACTGCTATGAAACCAAGGTGAGAATTCTGTAGCAAAATTGTAATTTTTAATCATACTCCTTCCTTGTTCATACTTTTATTGATCTGGGGCTAAAATGATTTTGAGAAGCTTTAAGGCTGCAGTTCTGTACCTTGGTGCAAGGCTGATTAAACACCGTGGAATTACTTCTAAGCAAATGTGGTTTGGCTTGCTCTGTCAGTCTTCAGTAGCATTTTTATGGTAATAAACTATTTCTCTCTGACTTTCATATCGGTATTTGACCTCTTTCCCCTTTTAGATTAAATAAAACTGTAAATGTAAACTGTACATTAAGCCTATTGTGTTTTATATTTATTGTATCTTACCAACATGCCATCTTTGTGGCTAATCTCTCTCTGACACATCTACACAAACACTGGACTAATTACTAGCAGTATTTGTAGCATCTGTTATGGAGTGGCCCAGCACTTGGCCTGTAAGGACGCATGTGGCCCCCAAGGCCTTGTTCTGCAGCTCTCTTGCCATTCATAGCTCCCTGTTCTCCCCCAGTCTGGATCCCAGTAATGGCATGGGCATGATTGTGTTGAGCATTCCTGACTCCATGTCCCATCCCGTTCTTTTTCTGAGGCCCAAGATGACAGCGAGTTGGGCAAATTCTTGTTTTCTCCCTTGGTGGGTACGTTTGCATTGCCATCACAGGGTAATGTTGTACGAGAACAATATTCTTGGTTTCTCCCAAGCAAACCTGAGAGTGGTGGTCTGAGAGTGCTGAGAATTTAAGTTTGTGGTTATATTTTCCAAAGGTGGGAGAACATAGATATGCAAATGCTCTCCAACTGTGGCCTTCAGTACGCTCCATTCAGATGGTATGCAGAAAGGTTGTGTATATGCTCCATTCAGGTGGTATGCAGAAAGGTTGTGTTATATAAAGTGTCTGGCCTTGGCCTGGGCCTTGATGTATTTTTTCTCCTGAAGTTGCAGATCAAGGCTGTTTTGACCATGGCTGCATCAATGAGAGGGCTAATGAGGCCTTTTATAATGCTGGTGGAATTTATGTTTTTTGCCTAAGATATTACCAGTTAAAAGAGCCCTTTTCATTGGACTGGCCGATAATGGTTAAAGCTTGGATTTTGTGTGTGTTATCTGTTCAACAACAAAGTTTTAAGTGGTCTACAGAGGCCTTCAGCAGTTCTGAAGCAGCATGGTTTTAAAAAGTTTGAGAACCACTGTCTTACCCTATGCAAGAAAGCCTTACATGGGAATCTTTGGAGAAGTTTAAACTTTAAGGCAGACTTGCTTGCTCTTGCCTGTTCTTTGGAATTAGGAATAATTTCTTCCGCATGAGGAATGGCCAGATTGGTCATTGTTGCCACGAGACATATGTGCTAGTGGGTTTGCGTGTGTGTGTTTGTGGATCAACATGTAAGGCCTCCCTGCCTCTTGATAAGCCTTTGGACTTGATATAATTCAGTGAGCACTTTCTAAATCTGCATTTCTACCTAATTCTCTGCGGGATTATTTTGAATTCAAATGCATTGACAGAATATTTGAAATGATAGATGTTCACAAACACTAGCCACCAGAAATATTTCCTGTCAGTCCTGGAGATGTAAAAGAGAGTATCATATATCTTATGGTAATTTTATATTTTGGTGAAATCGTTTTATTTTATTCATTTACTCTGCACTGGTATTTTCATGGTTTCCTACAAATTTCCAAACTGAAGCGGACTGTTGCTTTCTAATATTATATTAATACTCTATCTTTTTTTAAAGGGGGGAATTAAGCACTGCTGGTTTGTTACTGATGAGTATTGAAATGTATATACAACCATCTGTCACAGTAATATTAACTGCAACACAATCCTGCGGACGTATGTCCAAAACTAAGCCCAATGACATCTGCGGGACTTGGGCTATGTATGCAGAACTTTATCTATTGTCTTTCAGACTGGAGGCTAGCAGAGCTTAGAACACATAAAAAATGCAGTGTCATAAATCCAATCAAAGCAGCAAGGTGACAATTTCAGAATCTCCAAAACTGAGAGGAGAAAAGAAACAGCAGGGTTGCACTAATTCACTTTAAAAATAATATGATAAAAAGCCTGGCAGGGAAAAACAATTGTATTGTCTGCCTGAAAAAAGCAAGCAAAGAGGCCAAATGGGCCTCTTGGTTAGGGGTGTAAAGCGCACATAGGCATTAGGTTTATTTGTTTTTATTCATTACTATTCAGTTCTGTCCTTTCTGCCCAATAAACAAAACTCTCTGGGTAGTTCATAAAACTTTAAACAGATTTTAAGTATAATCCTATGCAAGTTTAGATAGGAAAAGCCAGCTGGGCTGGATGAGGGCCAATAAACTGAAGCTCAATCCAGACAAGACGGAGGTCCTGTTGGTTGGCGGATCGGGCTTTGGAGAGGGTGGATTTAACCTAGTCCTGAATGGGGTTGCACTCCCTCTTAGGGACAAGGTCCGCAGCTTGGGAGTGCTCCTCGACCCAGAGCTTTCATTGGAAGCTCAGGTAACAGCGGTGGCGAGGAGCGCTTTCCTTCAGCTTCGGCTGATTCATCAGCTGTGCCCATACCTGGAGTATGACTGCCTGGCGACAGTGACACATGCGTTGGTGACTTCCCGACTTGACTTCTGTAACGCGCTCTACGTGGGGCTACCCTTGAAGATGGTCCAGATACTTCAATTGGTTCAAAATAGAGCTGCCAGGCTGCTGACGGGGACTGGGCGTTATGTTCACATGACTCCAGTCCTCCGTCAGCTTCACTGGCTTCCCATTGAAGTCCCGGCCCAATTCAAGGTGCTGGTGATGACCTATAAAGCCCTAAATGGCTTGGGTCCTGGTTACCTGAAGGAATGTTTACGTCCATATATGGCCACCTGCCCCTTGAGATCTGCGGGAGAAGCCTTCTCCGGGAACCCTCCGTGAAAGAAATTAGGAGGGTAGGTACTCGGAGGAGGGCTTTCTCTGCGGTGGCGCCCAATCTATGGAACGCGCTCCCCAGAGAGGTCCGCCTGGCGCCGTCGTTATTTGTTTTTCGGCGCCAGGCAAAGACCTTTTTATTTAAGCGTCATTTTAATTGTTAACAGTATATGCTTATTTTATCTGGCCAGGGCGACTTATTTTATATTGTTATTTATTTTATATTGTTATTTTTATATTGTTATTTTTGTATTTTACTTCATGTTGTGAGCTGCCCCGAGGCTTCGGCGAATGGGGCGGCATAGAAATGTTTTAATTAATAAACAAACAAACAAACTTGCATAGGATTTCATCCTTAATCTTCCTATAACACATTTCAGGGTACCAAGCACTTGAGATACGTCATCTCAGTAGTCTTCACAGTAAGGCAGCTCAGTGCTGCTACCTCCATAATAATATAAAAACGATGGCAAAAGCAATCACGCATGTCAGAAGTATCAGAAAGACCAGTGGGGCCAGCAGTGGATAAGTGAAGCCACACTCTTGCCTGCGTTTCTTTACTGTGCTGCCATGGGCTTAGGCTCTAAAGCAACAGGCAAACTCTGTAGTAATGGTGGGTGCTGCTTATGTACTCTAATTGCATTAGAATGGTACTATTTCATACCTTAGACTTGTGGTTGTCTTGCCAGAAGAGTTGACCATCAGCTGAATAAAATCCTGTTTCTCAGAGGCATGAATACTTGAAACATCCTCTATGCTCGCAGCTGTTTGTTTGCTTTTTATGAATCAAAGGAGCTTCATTGTTTTGCCACTCCCTTTCCCTTAGTAGGAGTGCTTCACATACCCAAGCTTCCTAATGTTTGGCCATTGGCACCTGTTTGCCAGAACCAAGTGGCTTTAAATTTACAGATGAATTGGCTCTGTACCCTTAACTTCTTTAGCAAACAACTAAGGATGAAAGTCATAGAATAGTAGAGTTGGAAGGGATCCAAAAGGCTATAAAGTCTAATCCATTGCCCAGTGTAGAACTTGAAGTTAAAGCATCCCTGGAGGATAGCTGTCCAACTGCCTCTTTCCAGTGTGAGAGAGCCCACAAACTCCCTGGATAATGGGTTCTGTTACCATACTGCTCTAACAGTCAAGAATTTTTTCCTGGTGTGTGACAGCCTTTCAAGTATTTGAAAAGCGCTGTCCTATCTCCCCTTAGCCCCGAACTGGACACAGACCTCAAACTGGGGCCTAATGGTGCTGAATAGAGAAGAGCTAGTACCTCACATGATTTGGAAACTATTTTTCTGGTAAGGCAGCTCATAGATTTTGCTTCTTTGCAGCCAGATCACATTGCTGGGTCATTCTCAGCTCATGGTCTGCAGCAACTTCAAGATCCTTCTCACTTGCAGTCTTACTGAGCCAAGTATCTTTCATCTTGTAACGGTGCAGTTAGTTTCCTTTTCCATCTCCCTCTTCACCCTTGCTCTCATCCCCCTTTGCATAGTCATGAGCTGTTCTTCCAGGGTGTCCCTTTTTGGAACCCTAATTTTCACAAATATCACGGGAAACCTGGAATGGGCAATCGGTAGAGGGGGAGTGTCTACTGGCAAAGTCCCGCAGGTCCCCCCCCCCATGTCCAGTGCCCTGCTGGAGGTGTAGGTAAGCAAATCCCCTCCCTCCCCCAGCATTTGACATTTGTCAAACATCAACGTGTCACATGCTTCCAAAGCCCACAGTGATCTTTCCTTGTGAATGTGTGCAGTCCTGATTTACCTTTTCACAGTGGAATCCTTGTGGAGGATCAAATGGGGTCCTGAGGTCCTGGAATCCAAATGTAGGTTGCTAAGTAGAAGGTTGAAGTCAGGGACCCTCAGGGGGCTTTCTCTGAAGTGGTGCCTGTTGCCCATTCAAGGCCAGCGCAGCTGAGAACTGTCACTCCATGGCTGAAGCAGTGGTGTAGGGAGGAGGGTTTCGGATTTGTTAGGCCCTGGGGAACATTTTTGGACAAGCTGTGCCTGTGCAAAAAGAATGACTGCATTTGAACCCAAATGGAGCCAGATTGCTGATGCAAAATATACAAAAGGTGGCAGAGCAGCTTTTCAGCTAAATCCTGGGGGTGGGAGGAATGCCAGCAGAAACTGGAAGACGTCCAGTTGAGGTGAAATCATCCCTTGGGGTAAAGACAAAAAAGAGGAAAAAAATGTCCTTCTGGGGAAGGACAGTGTGTATATGTTGTTTTTCTGCAAATGCCTCTGAGCCAAAATAGGACAGCTGGAGTGTCTGGTTTTGAAAATGAACCTAAATAGAGTGAGTGTTACAGGAACCTGGTAAGATGGAGAGACGCGGTGGCATATGGCCATACCCTGGCATAGACTTCATAAGGAAAATAAGGAGGGGCATGCTGGAGGAGATGTCTGTCTGTACATCCAGGAGGGTATGGAGTCCAGCAGACCTGAACATCTCAAAAGTGCACGGAGAAGCACTGTAGGTGACAATACCTAAAACTGATTTAGTTTTAGGCACATGCTGTCATGTGGAAATGCCACATGCAAATCTATAGTGTGACTGCATTTAGAATATTGTGCAAAATTCTGGTTCCTTTACCTAGAAAGAGATACTGTAGAGCTGGAAAAAGTACAGAAAAGAGCACCTAAAGGTTAGAGCAAATTCTACATGACAAAGGTTAGAACAGCTGAGATTATTGGGAAAAAGGCAAGTTAGAGAAGACTTATGGAGCGATACACGGTGCAAAGATAGATAGGGAGGCACTTTCCCCCCTTTCTTATAATCCAGTGTCATTCCATGAAGTAATTGGTGAAATATTCAGGACAGAGAAAAGGAATAACTTCATGCAGCTTGTAGAATTCACTTCCATGTGATGTAGCGATGGTCACAAATTTGGACAGCTTGAAAAGGGGGTTGGATAAATTCATAGGAGAAAAGGCTGTTAATAGCTATTAGCCTTGATGGCTAGAAGCTACCTCCAGTGTCAGAGGGAGTGTGCCTATGTATATCATATACTGGGGAACATGGGCAAGAGGGTGCAGTTGCATTCATAACCTGTTGTGGGATCCTTTGGACAGCTTGTTTGCCACTGTGTGAACAGATGGCGGGACTAGGTGGTCTTTTGGTAAGATCTAACATGGTTCTTACATTCACAACAACCTAGGGTTTAAAAAAGCAAGCAAGCAAACAAACAAGCATTTTGTTTGATGAGGACTGTAGTGTAGGAACTCTACTGAAGTGGATGAGCAAGCTGCATGTATTATTTGCACCAAGGAATAACTCTGTGAGATAAGTTATACATGCAGAGTGTGAAACACAGGTTTGTTTATTTATTTAGAATTTTTGTATGCCGTCCCATTCGCATGAGCCTCGGGATGGCTTACATACAATAAAGGTTTAGCACATCTAGGCATGGAAAGGAAGAAACACAGTATTGGTATGTTCTGTTTTTGCTTTACTTTTCCATTTTTCCTTTTAGCTTTTATCCTTTGGTATTTTGAGGTTCTTTATATGCTATGTAGGGAATAGTACTCGGTTCCCCTATTTTGCATTCAGTTAAATAGGAATGGGAAGCTTGTGATTACAATTCTGTTTCAGAAAAATGTTAAAGTGTAGGGAAAACTGGTATTTCCCCCACCTTACAAATTTGTGGTCTAAAAAGTCAGTCTCTCTCTCTCTCTCTCTCTCTCATTTTGTTTTGTAATTCAGGTGGCAGCCAATGCTCACATCCCTCCAAATTACCTGCTCAAAATTTGCGAGCGGATCGGGCCCCTCTTGGACAAAGAGATCCCACAGAGTGTGCTGGGAGTGCGGACTCTGCTAGGAGTGGGGCGGCAATCATTGCTTAGGGCAGCCAAAGGTAACAGTGTGACATCACGCAACTATTGTTCGCTTTATTTTAAAACCTCCCACATTAAAGGGGTCCTAAAGATGATTTACCAAAGACGATGATGACAACAACAACACATCCATCAGTGTGAATCTAGTAAGCATAAAAAGTGCAACTGAAATAATATTATTTTGAAAGGACAATGGCTATTCAGTATTTCTTAACGTTGTAAATAAAGAGGTGAGGAAATAAACAGAAACAGCCTTGGTAAAGCCTGTGTTTCTTGCGAGGAATTTTGGTCGGTGCCTTTTGCTTTTGCAGTCAGGACATCTTTTCGGGGAAGGAGGGAGGGGCTGGGTTGCAAAGCCCGACTCTTCAGCTCAGGGTTCTGACTGGCTTTGACTCTTCCTTTGCGCAGATTGCAGGCACACGTCATGGAAGGGATCGGCATTCGCAGCGCTTCACAGAGGCAGGCCTCCCGAACTACCTGCGAACTATGGGAAGCCACCAAATGTGGGTAAGGAATAATACTTAACCGGGTTCAAGAGCACATTTTGATTTCACATTTTCATATTTATATCTATTAGCTTTTTGAACTAGCAATACTCCTTCAGCCGGGATATTGAATTTTGGGCTGCACAGACAGAGAACAGTAAGGGAGAACTGATTTTTTCCCAAACTAGATTTCTGATGGTCGTGAGCAGGAGGGGCCACAACTTGGTCACTTCTCTAGCTGGCTGAAAATGTACTTTCCCATAAGAAAAATGAAGTTTATAAAATGATAAAAGTTGGAAACAACCAAAGGCTGAGCTAACTTATCTTCTGCGGGAAGGCGGGATCATCCATTCACCAGACTTGCTTGTTTTGGTTTTTATTTACCTATTATGCCTGCCACCTTGGAGGGAATTTTCAGTGGCCAAATACGGTGGCAAGTCACATCCTTACTGTGGGCAAAAAGCATTCACTGAATCATGACGTCAAATACACATTTAAAAGCCCTATGGAAGGAGTTGGTATAAGTGATTACCTTATCTTACTTAACCTTAGCTGCCATTGCATAGTGCTGCATCGTGTAAGATTACATTCAAAGTTCCCAGCACTGGCTCAAAGAAACTGAGGTCCTTATTCTAGGGCTGGGAGCCAAGCCCAGTGTATCAGCTGTTGCTGCCAGCTCTTTGTTTAAAAACCTAACCGTTTTTCAAGGTGTGGGTGGAAACGCTGCTGTCTGTTGCAGCCCATGACCAGGAATTCCAGGTGGGCTTGAGATCCCAAGTGCTGACATCTCCTTTTAGCTAGACAGTTGCGATAATGCTTTGCTTTTCCACTTAGATTTAGCAGGAAGAAACGCAGAGTTGTTGTCATTCGCGTTAGGCTAAATACAGCCCCACATTTTTTGTTATTCCCTGTTAAATTTGGAGAGGAAAATTAAGGCTAAGTATTGAGGGGGGTGGTGGCAGAGTAGTGAAGCTGAAGTGGCAGAGGGTTTAGTCTCCCCCACCCCACCCTCTCCAGAAAAAGTTGTGACCCAGGTTCTGGCAGGGTGGTGATGTTCCTTTCTCATTTGGAACAGAGTGGCTCGGTGTGAATGGCCAAATGTCGTGATGTAGCGTCATTCCTCAGGCATTCTTGGGAGGAGAAAGAAGAGCTGCCCGCCTGAACTTGGTTCGCACACAACTGCAGCAGCTTGTAGTTGAATTAATTAAACCACAGTTTGCTGAGTGCCACGTCTGGTGTGTCCCACTGCTTCTTTTCATACACAGCCACTGATCAAGGCAATTAGAGGCCGCTCTGTGACATGTGAACTCAGACACTAGGGGTTATGCATAACTAAAACAGTGCAAAGTTTATCTCTGATCGAAACATAATTCTCATTTTTGGTGGATGCATGTGCTTGACCATTGTGAAACACAGAAAGCTCTGGGGCACATGCTTTTGTCCTAGTGCTAGTCCTGATATATGCTGCTGCTGCTGTTCATTCCCCTGTTTCAGAACTCGTTTAGATATATGATGATGTTCAGTAGCAATTAATGGACTAATTAATTAACCCACAAATTTCAGGGATGCACTCTGTGACTGGTTGTTTCCAATAATACTCCTTGAATGCACTTTCCAGAGTTGTTACTATGACATCTGAACCTTGGAACTCAGGGTTGCCTGTGGATTAAATCCGCCCAAGTTATCTCATGGCTTGTTCTTGGGTCACCTTCACCCCACTCTACTCTCAAACAACTCCAAGTTCTTGGGTTTGTACATAAACATAAAGGCCTTGTTACTGGAGACGGGAAGCAGATCGTGCACCAAAATTTTTGGCCTAATTAATTAGCCTGTGAATTGCTGTGGTTACTTCTGATGGGCCCCTCTGCAGTAGAAATGAGTAAGACCCTTGACCTAGAGTAGGTTCATGACAATTTAAAATCATGGGATAATTTTGTATTCCCTCTTTACATTTCCAGTCAATATAATCTGTGCCCGGCAGTCAACTGGATATGGACGCTTCAGCCATTTGTTCCCATCATCCTTCTATCAGCATATCAAGATGCACAAGAGGATTCTGGGGCATTTATCATCTGTGTATTGTGTAGCATTTGATCGAAGCGGGAGAAGAATTTTCACGGTGAGCCGAACAAAACTGAAATATTCCAGAACTTTGAATGCCTAGGGGCTTTTTGCTCTGGCATAATGCCCAAATGATTAAAAGCCATGAATATTTTCTTCCTTTTACAAAAGAAAATGCAGAGGTTTTATATAGCATTAATAATCAGTTCTCTAGAACAGTGGTTTTCAACCTTTCCACAGCTGGGGACTGGCAAAGACAGGAAAACCACCCCAGGGACTGCTGAGGCAGAAGCGAAAAGCACCATAAACATAATCCAGTAATCTGTGTATTAGTTTCCAAACACAGTACCAAAAGATGAAAATTCTCCAAAACAACTAGAAACCAGGCAACAAAATATGCCAACAAAAGAACAAAATACCAAAATCGGCACGGCGTGGCTCCCACCAAGCTGTCTCTCCCCGCCCGGGCCTCGCTGGCGGCACTGGCACACCCGCCACAGACGTGATGCCAACCAAGGAAGAGGTGGTGAAGCACAGCCGGCCCCCCATGCTGGTTCATGCCAAGTGGGGTGCAGCCCCTACTGCAGACCAGCAGGAAATCCCCCGTGGACCAGCGCCAGTCCACGGACCAGCGGTTGAAAACCACTGCTCTAGAACATCTCCATTTTCGGGTTGAGTGCTGTGCAGCACCCTTGCTTTTCTGATTTTGTTTTACAAGTAATTTGGGGGGATGCTACAGAACCTGCTAGTCCTCTGAGCGCAGCTTCAGCTTCCTGTTTGCAAGAAAACATGCAGCTCGCCCGTTTAAGAACATGAGGATGCTGCTGGAACCTTACTCAGCATCCTTTTTTCCACAGCGGCCAACAGGATGCTCTGGGAAAGCCCAAGAGCAGGGCATGAAAGCAGTGCCAGACAGAAAGGCAGGGATTCATGCTGCATATCTCAAGACTCGTAGTGAAAAGTATGGAACGTCTGCATTTTACAGTTTGGATGGTGTTTTTTGTGTGAAACATTAGGGTTCGGATGATTGCTTGGTGAAAATCTGGGCTACAGATAACGGGCGGTTGCTTTCCACGCTCCGAGGACATTCAGCTGAAATTTCTGACATGGCTGTGAGTTATGAAAACACGCTCCTTGCTGCAGGCAGCTGTGACAAGGTGGTCAGAGTATGGTGTCTTCGAACCTGTGCACCTGTTGCAGTGCTGCAGGGCCACTCAGCTTCCATTACGTCCATACAGGTAAGGCAGACAACCTTTTCCTCATATATTTGCTTGACTTTGTATGCATTAACACTGACCTGACCCACATGTTGGGCCAGGTGAGCATTTGCTGAAACCCTGACTTATTCATCCCTCAATAACCCAGAATTTTGGGGATAGACATCACATCAACAGCCTAAGGACAGGTGCCCTTGAGTTGTTTATTGCAACAGAAGCCAGAATGCAAACAAAACAAAACAAAACCCCTAAATAAAATAATATTCATTTATCTTCAAATAGATAAAAAATATGCATGCATATTTAACATTCCATATTTTGTTAATACTAAGTTGTTACCAATGAGTGAACCAGGTCACTGTCTCAAATAATTGTTTTGTGAAATATAGTGTTATATATCTGACAACTTCCTTACTGCCAAAAGCAATCCAAGGGGTAACTTGAAGCCAACCTGTTATTCAGTAACTGTGGGTCAGCTTATACAGTTATATAAGCTGGGTGAATGTGAACAAATCATAAAGATTATTTACAGTAATTAATCTGTTTAAATCCTTAGTTTTCTCCAGCAAGAAAAGGAACAACTCGATACCTCACATCTACTGGTGCTGATGGAACCATCTGCTTCTGGCAATGGCATTTAAACACAATGAAATTTAAGTATGTTTGGCTTGATTTATTATTTTTAGTCCACTTTTCTTTTCCTGGAAAGAATCTAACCGTTGGGTCAACTTAATGCTTGGCCTAGTAGACGTATTGCTGCTTTCTGTGCTGTAAGCATCAATATGTTATCGTCTCCACACGTGAGCATTGCAACACTTAACACAAAGGGATGAATGGGAAGAACTAGGATAGATCTGTTAACAAGTGCACAAATGAAAGCATTCACTTTGTTTTTCATTAAGTTGTGCTTTAATGTTTTGGATGGAGAACAAAGAAGTGTGATACTTGCTATGTCATGTTGCGTCAGATAATTGGCCCAGTCAGGCCAGTACTATCTACACAAGCTTTGAAGCAGAGATTCTTCTCTCGCTCTCTGCCTGCCTGCCCGCCTGCCTAACTTTCTTTCGTTTGTTCTTTGTTAAGTTGGGTAAGAACTTTCTTGTTTCTGTCCATGAAAAAGAGAACACAGATGGGGAACCCGTTGATACATCCCAGCTACAGCTATGTCCAGTGCCACCTCGTGACTAAACTAAGTAATGACAGATGCATATACACTCAGATGCAGAGATATTTCCCAGGCCCTGCTACTTGATAGAATTGTAGAATAGCAGAGTTGGAAGGGGCCAGAAGGCCAATGGGTCCAACCCCTGCTCAGAGCAGGACTCCAAGTTAAACCACCCTCTCAGATGGCTGTCCAGCTGCATCTTGGAAGCCTCCAGTGTGGGAAAGGTCACAGCCTTCCTTATGACATTGGTTGCATTGCCATACGGCTGTCACAGGGAGTTCAGCCAGAATCTGGCTTTCTGTAAATTGAGCCTATTATTCCATGTCCTTCACTCTGGGATGATCAAGAAGAGATACTGGCCTTCCGCTTTGTGGCAACCTTTCAAGTACTCGAAGAGTGCGATCACAGCTCCCCCCGGTCTTCTCTTCTCAAGGCGAAACATTCTCAGTTCTTTCGATCACTTTTAGCTCGTTTGTTAATCAGGTTATCACGGGGCACTTTGTCAGAAGTTTTGCTGAAGTTAAAATAGATTATGGCCACAACAGTCCCACAGTCTACCAGGGGGATTACCCAATCAAAAAACAAAATCAGCTTAGTCTGGCAGGATTTGTTTGCTTTTCAAAAGTTTCATTCTTGTCTTCTCCTTGACTGGGTGGCCAGTACTGGACTCCAACTGCTGTGTTCCTTTTATTACTTGCCCCACTTATATTAACCCTGATGCTCTGAATAGAGCTATTAAGCTCATCCTCCTGTTTTCTGTGTAGAGATATGCATCTTTAACATAAAGTGTGACTGCCTCCTCTTCCAATGAAATTGCAGAAATGTTAACCCATTGGTCTGCCACTTTAGAATTACATGACCAAATTCGAAGAGGCAACACAAACCGGTCATGAAAAGAGAAAGACAAGCTAACTTCTTGCAAAGTATCATTATTCAATGGAACTGATTCACCCATTGAAATCGCATCTTTCTTTGAGGGAATCTCAGAGTCTCTCAACAAGGACAGTGAATAGGATGTTGCCATCATGAAAAGTGCGCTCATCAGGGCAGTACTGCACACAGTCATTTAAATAGGACTTACACTCAGGAAACTGGCCGATAGAATCGTAGCCTCAGCCTTTTATCTCAGCCAGGAGATTTTCAGCCCACAGTTGAACTATTTGTAAATTCTGGTGGATGTGAGGGTGGGAACTGTAATCTGACTGGTACTGGCAACACAGTGTTTTGGCTGAACTTGCTCTAAGGTGGTTGTTGTTGTTGTTGTCATTCTTCTTTTACGTAACACTGTAACTGTCATTTGCAAGCATTGATTTCTGTTCAGACATTTCACATACTTTTTCAAAGTTAACCACACTGTTTCCATATTCAGTTGAATGTATAGGACATATATGTATTTTAAGTATTACTTGTAGAGTGGATTTTCCTTAGTCTTTGAAAATACTAAGAGCTACCTGCTGCTATTTACATTCTTCTGGAAAAGTTGTTGCTTCCCAATTTTTAATATTTTTGTTCAGGAACTTGATTACACTGAACCTCATAAAAATCAACTCTGTCACCTTAATTGGAGGTGTACACATCTGTGGTCAGTTTAGTTCTATATGGGTATAGTTTGTTTTTGACAGGCGAGAAGTCAACCTATCAGGTTTTCTTTTGCAAACTCATATTAACATTACAAAAACCATTATTCTCCGAGTTTGTTGATATCTATGTTAAATGTCCCAACAGCAACCTATTCTACAAAAGAGATTTGTTTTCATTAGCCTTTGTACTGGTGAAGGCTAAGTAATTAAAATGTGTTATATTTACATTTCAGGGATCGGCCAGTCAAATTTGCAGAAAGGTCTAGACCTGGTGTTCAGATATCTTGTTCGTCTTTCAGCTCTGGTATGTACAAGTTTTCCTAAGAAAACATGTTGCTTAGGAGATACAGACATTTCAGCTATAAGAGATATTCGTCCTTGTTTTAGAAAATGCTCACAGAGAGTGAGCACGTACACACGCACACACGCACACACACACATATTTAAATCTAGCATCACTATTTATATTTGTTTTAGTGAATTAAAAGCTTGAGATTCATTTGCTTTTTCTCCATGTTCCCTCCCCTGTAGGTGGTATGTTTATAGCAACAGGGAGCACTGACCATGTGATAAGAATATATTATTTGGGCTCTGAATCTCCAGAGAAAATTGCTGAGTTAGAATCTCATACGGTAAGATCAAAATATGAAATCGCATCTTCTTTATTTCTAAAAATAAATTACGCAAAGTGTTTAGGTATCAGTTTTTTCACTATACTCTGCTAATAATATACTTTACTGTGTGTGCAGATTCTATGCCCATGCAGGAAATTTACTTCACTGAATTTATCAGGAAGCCTTTGCAGAGCCTCCCTTGAAACTCTGTGCCCACTGTGGAGTCAGTTGCTTTTTCATCGTTCTATATTAAATGTCCCAGTTGTTGTCTAGGGCCTCCTGAAAAAAAGAGGGAAAAAAGGATGCCAAGATTAAATACTCTTAATATATTTTCAGTGCCAGGTTAAAACTGTCCTGTGTGATAGTGCAATTAATTAGCTCAATATTATATTGGGGTTTAATGTTTGCTGCTTAACAAGTTTTGTGATTTAATCTGTGTAAGGTATTGTCCCTTCTCTAATTTGGTTTAAACTTGGTCTATTAAATTTTATAATACTATATGTTTTTATTGCTATATGTATTTTAAATTATATTTTATGTGATGTTGTAAGCAGCCTAGAGAGCTTTGGCTGTGGGTGGCACAGAAATGGTTCTGGTAATGATGATGATGGTGTTGTTCCCACTACTTACAGCAGCTATTTAAGTTTTTGTACTGCCCAATAGCTGAAGTGCTCTGGGCAGTTTACAGCAACCCCACAAATACAATAAATACAGTAAAAAGAAACAGGTCAGTCATAGCACCATGGGTACTGATCCAGAGTTTAGGAAGCTTGGAACATTTAAGAGACACATTTATGGTAGGGAGGAGATGGACTAAATTGTAAATGTGTTGATTTTTTAAAAAAGTATTAACTAAACCCCCCCTTTCTTAATTTAAAGGATAAAGTAGTTGCTGTTCAGTTCTGCAACAATGGCGATAGGTAAGCATCTTCTTCCACTACGATGACATTTTTGCAAAATGTTTTTTAAGCCTTAAAACAAGTGATTGAAAAACAACTGAAGTGCTGAATTCTGAATGTTCAAATACGAGGTTGTGGCGCAGAGTAGCTGGACTTGTTTTGCTGCATCGTATAGGCTAAGTTCACACAAAACAAAAAGTCTTTGTGAGATTTTTAGTGTGAGTTGTTTTCTGACTGTAGACATCCCGCAGTACTACTAAATGCACTGGGAAAAGATAAAATGCTGTCTGATCTTGTCATTGGGCGTGATATCATGCCGACTTTATCTGATGATGTTGCGTTTCCCAAATCAATGATGTTCCCAGGGGAGTATATGTAAAATCCCGTAACTTCTGTTCTCACAGAAATACTATCCTGTTCAGGTTGAAATAAGCAAGTTCACATCACCGAGTTTTAGATCACCATATAACAGAGCTTAGCACCTCTTTGCAAAAGCCTGGGTGTAATCCAGAGAAAGCGGGGCATACCTGAGTTACAAAATTTAAGTGCTTGACTGTGTTGGTCCTATCAGTTACATTGGGACTTATGTATCCATAATGGCCCCTTGGAATTCCCCAGCCATCTGGGCTTCATCTCAAGACTGCATACCCTTTCTCCTCCTGCCATTAGATTCCTTCCTTTCCTTCCTGCTTTGCCATGACTAGTGTTTTCCAGGCAAAAGAAAAGGTACAGTTTAATTCCAGTCTTGATCTCATAACTACACTTTGAAGTGGATTTCCATTTTTGGCATTTGATAGAGCAGTGAGCAAAAGCGTGTCTGAACCAGGAAGCAAAGGAAGGAGTTGGGAGTATGTGAGAAGAGAAGGAAGCAATACGAGCCTGAAGAATGGCGTCAGTCGACCATGCCCTCTGAAGTGGACCGGCCTCTTCTGGGTTACATCCAGGCAGTGCGGCAGACGTGTGCTTAATATTTTACATGGTTTTACCTTTTAAAATCTCTTGTATTCTGAAGATACTGGACAAAACTCTTTAAAAGGAATTGATCAAACCACTGCCTGTCGAATAAGCCTTATGTTAAAGTATCAGATAAACAACTAAGGGCACGTTCAGTGTTAACTATTCTTTTTTAATTCAGATTAAGGTTTGTCAGTGGAAGCAGAGATGGAACAGCCCGAGTGTGGCACTATCAAGAGCAAGAATGGAAGAGTATAGTTTTGGATATGGCTACCAAAATGACTGGGTAAAGTCAGAAAATAATATTTGCATCTTCTGGACAAAAAAGTACAAATGATTTAAAAACATAGTAATCTTGATTTCTCAACTTGCAATCTGCAGTTGTTCAGACTGTGTTTCTCATTTGTTCAAGCACCTTTTCTTTCCAGATCTTCACACTGCTTTTCCATTGTGGCTTTTGTGCTTCCCTCAAGGTTTCTAGCAACAAAGTCCTATGGATATAATATTTTTAAAATCATGGTATCGATGGTAGCGCCATACTCTTTCAAGTGCTCATTAAACACCATTTCTGTAATGGCCTCATATTGTCATGTTATATTTGGCATGTGGAGGAGCTTGCTGTTAAAAATGGTGCAGCTACAATAACGTATGTAGTATTAGGAGCATTCCTTTCCGTTAAGGAGAAGCATCTGCCTACTTTCTAAACCAGGTATACCTTACCTGATTGATAAATTGAATCCCACTAGAGGGAGCTCTTGTTGCATTGAAAGCTAAAGTCTGTGCTAAGTATGAAACTGACCTGGAACAACTGGGGTAGGCAAATCTTCTAAGACTGAGTTCCTTGAGCCTATCAGGAAACAAGAGACAAAGCAAGTTCAGCTCTTGTTAATTCCAGGCTATGGCTTCCTTAATGGATTCAGTCACTCTCCTACCTGGTCTTCCTTTTCTTCCTCTGTTTGTGACTTTCCCAAATATGATCATCTTCTTCAGGGAGTCTTGCCTTCTCAGGATGTACCCAAACTATGACGCCCCTCAGTTTTGTCTTTTTTGCTTCTAGGGAAAGCTGTGGCTTGGCTTGATACAGGACTCACTCGTTCATCTTCCTGTTCATCCAGGATGGTTGCATTTACTTCTTTAAAAAAACAGAGAGATCCAATTAGTGATCTCCCAGTGTCTTAGTTTAGCCAGAGTTGGTATCAATAAGTTGCCCTTTGCCTAGAAATTATATAAATATATATGTGCGCATGTGTGTGAATATTCTCAGGAACAACGTGCCATCTGGGGAGGACAAAGTATCTAAGCTGAAGGTGACGATGGTGACTTGGGATCGATACGACACCACTGTTATCACAGCAGTCAACAACTTCCTTTTGAAAGTGTGGAACTCCTCCACAGGCCAACTTCTTCACACCTTATCCGTAAGTAGGACATCTTAAACATCAGTAGGCTTCTTAACATGGTCTGCTAAAGTTCTGTGTGTCTTGCATGCCTTCGGCTATGATGTCTAGCACTGAACATGGCATCTTTGAGAATCGAATCATCTAATCATAATTTTTGAGCACTGTATGGAAACTTGTGAGCAATATCAGATGAGCCAAGGGTGAAAGCAGGGCCCCAGAGGGAAGGTTCTTCTGAACAGAGCATCTCAGGTAGCATCAGAGACTTGTGGACTTCTTCAGCGTTCTTCGAGGAACTGGGCTCTCTCCTATATTACAGGCTTCAAAGGCTGTTCTCAGATCCTGATTCAAAGTAAATGTGGGGCTCGAATTTTTAGTAGACTTGTCAAGGCCGCCAGCCACTGTTCCCCCAGCATAATGCCTCCACTATCAGAACTCCTGGCCATTGATAGCCTTATACGTGGAGTCTTGTTTTCCTCCACTACCCCAGCCCCATTTTTTCTCAAGTTTCCTTTATTCAGGAAACTAAGAGATCAGCAAAAAGGCAACGCTAAAACCTAGAGTCATTTTCAAATGCTTTGGCAGTGAACCAGCTGCAGCTACGATAATGGTTCCACCAGCAAGTGTGCCTGTGTCATGACCCCTCTTCCAGCCCAGTGGCAACCAGCCGGGCGCCCAGCCAGAGGTGGATCGTGTGACCTGGCAGCCCCATGTCCTGTCATACGAGCTGTCCTTGTTGCTCATCGCAGGGGTGCCATAAAGTAAAACCGTGCAAACTGCCTTGAAGGAGGAGAGTGGGGTAAAATCTGGATTACTGTGTTGGGGTTTTTTGAATGTGTGAAGGAATATTCTGTCCTAGATGCCCTCAGCTGCAGTCCAATGTGACACTGTGCATATAACCGTCAATTACCTCTGAGAGAAGAAGGCACTGGCTGTCTGAGCGTATGAAAGAGTGGCAAGATAGGGCTGGGGGCGAGTATACCGTGGGAAGCCCACCGGTAGCTGTCGCTAGTTTCTGAAATGTGATTTTCTTCGCATTTTTCGCAGGGCCACGATGACGAAGTGTTCGTCTTGGAAGCTCACCCATTTGACCAAAGGATCATGCTTTCTGCAGGTCATGATGGGAACATTTTCATTTGGGACCTTGAGAAAGGAACGAAAATCCGCAATTACTTCAACATGGTAAGGCACCGCATGGAATAGATTTATTTAAAACATTTGTGTGGCGCCCAGTTGTGCCACAGCACCCCTGGGCGGCTCACAACACAAGATCCATGTACAAGTGGGCTCTGTGGGAAGAACCCATGAGAACTACTACTAAAAAATATTGTTCCTTATACCAGAGATGGCAACCTTCCACGAGGTGGTTTTGGGTAAATAGCACATGCCCCAAGCAGACAGGCAGGAGTCAGGTGAGGTTATCCCACTGCAGCTTTGTTTCCTGTGGCTTGTGAAGAGAGTGGGAGAGAGTTCTTACGACATGGATCTGCTTTAAGGAGCCGGGACTGCTAGCAAACACCACACTGTGTTAGAAAAACTGGCTGCATTCCCCCATAGCGACGAGCTAAGCTGGAAATTGCACGTGTGGGCACTCACATCACAGGCAAGTCCTGCCTCCACGGTGAAGCATGGCAGGCTTGCTTCACCGTAGAGTTTCATGGAAACCAGCGGTGTGTAGAAAGGTTCCCGTGTTTCACCACTTCTTGTGGTTACCTGTGGCCCCAGTTACAATGTTTTGCACAGCAGCCACATTTCAGCCATCGCGTTTGGTGGCTAATCATGATGACGACGAAGACGTGGAATTGTGCTTGTACCACTGCGGGAGCCAGTTGTTTCCTGCTCACACCACCAGAGAGCATGTGGGACTTTGCCAGAAGAGTGAGCTTCCCACCGAGCCCAAGTCCCCCAGAATGTGTTGATGTTCTGTTACAGATCGAGGGCCAGGGCCACGGTGCAGTGTTTGATTGCAAATTCTCCCCGGATGGTCAGCATTTTGCCTGTACAGATTCACATGGACACCTTCTACTGTTTGGCTTTGGGTGCAATAAATATTATGAAAAGGTAGGTGGCAGAATCTTAATGCTTTCTTGAGTAGTGTTTGCAGCAGGGATATCTTTACTGTGGCCAAGATCTAGCAGAATCAACTGCTTTTAAACCATGTTCATCAGTGGGAAAGTTTAAGCATGTACTTAAATGTCTCTTGGGAGTTTACGTGCTTAGCTTTATAAGTGAATTCTGACAGCAGTTAGAGAACCGTTCTAAACGCAGCATCTTTGATTCAAGATAATGAGAAGAAGAATGTACGCAGTTAATTCAACGGGCCCTGAACAAATTTGTGTGTACCCAGTGATGCTTTGCATTTTCTTTTCTTTTTTTTAAAGCAGCTTCCTTGCTCCGCACAAGAACTTGCTTCAACAAACAAAGTGGAAACATTTCAGTTAAAACTAGTCAGAAAGCAAGTTTTGCTTAAGAATGATCTTCTTGGGCAATGTATTCCACAGGGTAGAGGCACTGCTATGGAGTGATCTATAGATCTAATTATCTACAGATCTAGGCACCTTTATCAAACAAATTTTGAGCAGGCCCTTCCTAAAGGATTGCAAAGGATGTGCAGATGTATTAGGAAAAAAGACCCTTTAGAAAGTCGGTTTAAGTCAAAACCAGAACATGTAGGAGGGCTTGGAAGCAAACAGGAAGCGTATGCAGTGACAAAATTAAGTAACTTAAATTCCCTTTGCTGGGGATCTGACTACATATCTGCCTGTTTAGGACTTCAAGTCATTCCTGTGGCTTCTAAAATTTTATCTGACAATGTCCAGATGTTTCCAAGCATCTGTTTGCAAGGGCAAAGAAGTATGCTCACTTTTTAAAAATGAATGTCACCTTAAAAAGTCTCTGAGTTTGATGTTGTTGCATAGAACGTATGCAGGCTTGATAAAGCCTCCTGCTCTGGCGTGGATTGACTATCCTGATAAGCTCAAGGTTAAGCTTCCCATTTAGCAGATCACTGGGGAGAGAATTAACATTGACCTGGAAGGTGTGTTGTACAATCATTTGTATATTTCTTCTGATTTTCTAAGTTTGTGTCTCATGTAGATTCCAGATCAGATGTTCTTCCACACAGATTATCGCCCCCTGATCCGTGATGCTAATAACTATGTGCTAGATGAACAAACTCAACAGGCCCCACATCTCATGCCTCCCCCCTTCTTGGTAGATGTGGATGGAAATCCTCACCCCACAAGATACCAACGACTGGTGCCAGGGCGGGAAAATTGTAAAGATGAACAACTCATTCCTCAGCTGGGATATGTGGCAAATGGTACATGATCATTCATTAAGGTGAAATTGATACGGTGCGGGGTGGTGCATTGCTTTTAAATAATTTTCTTGCACAGGTTTATTTTAGATTTTCTAAGTATGGGCTCACTATTCCCAGCTTGTTGACTGCAAGGTGTGGAGTAATCAAAGAAGTGAAAATCCCTTTGTCTTGCTAGATAGGATAGAGGAAAAGCCTTCCTTCCTTCCTTCCTTCCTTCCTTCCTTCCTTCCTTCCTTCCTTCCTTCTGTTAAAGTCTTAGTAACTGTGCTGCTCTTCTAGGACACACGTGACAGTACTTCTGAGGATAAATCCAGAGGAGGAGCTGTTTTTGTCTGTTCCAGCTAAAAACACACCACCACTACAATACCTACCAGTGACTGATGGGACATTAAAGATTAGCACATTTATTCTGGCATATCTTTTGTGGGCCAGGTCCATTTCCCCAATTGCTTAAAGTAGCAATTTCTTCTGTATAGGTTTATATACCAAGTTATCATAGTGAGGCCAAAAGGCTAAGCAGTGCAGGAAGGACCTGGATCACATTTACCTTACAGGACACAAAAGAGCACAATCAAAAGTATAAGAGAGTTAATCAAAACAATGTGACCCATTCCTATATTAGTGAGGTGTCAAAGCAAAATGGAGGTGTGCATAAACTCCCAGGTAATTATTTTCTGTTGTGAGCGAGCTAATCTTATCCTTAATATGATCACTTGGCAGTCCTTTGATTTATGCTGGGCTCTTCCTGAGAGTCTGTGTTTAAGAAAATATAGTTGAAGGATTTTAATAGTTTAAATCCAGCCCAAGGCTTCTGCTAGATAAATGGTAACTCACCCTACGGAAGAGTCTTCTGTGGCCCTTGTGGGGATTGGTGCTACACGTTATCGCTGGTACATCTGTGATGTCTCACCTGGTACATTTGCTATTGCCAAGGTGATGGTGAGGTGGTGGAGCAAGTGATTGGACAGCAAACCAATGACCACGAAGAAAGCATCCTTGATGGAATGATCAGGGAGCTGCAGCGAGAACAAGATCTGAGGAGGCTTAGTGAAGGCGAAGCTCTTCCAAACCCTCCACAAAACCGATCGCAGTCTATTAACAGTAAGAGCTCTCTCCTGTCATTCTTCCAGGCAAAGACAGAACGCCTCGAATTGCGCTGGTGTTCTTTGGGTAGAACAAGCACCACACATTCTGACTTGTCTTGTGCCATGTTCTTTTGGTAGCGTTGAGAAGCCCAAGTCTGGATATAGCTTCCCCGCCAAACGTTGGGCTCAGGCGGAGCGGTCAGATTGAAGGTGTCCGGCAAATGCACAACAACGCTCCCAGAAGTCAGATGGCCACGGAAAGAGACCTCATGGCGTGGAGCAGGAGAGTGGTAGTGAACGAACTGCATCCTGGGGTTAGCAGGTAAAGGCATGTTGCGAGCCCTGTGCGAGCCGAGACCCATTTAAAACGATCCTTGGGATTGCTCTGTGCGTACGAGTCCTGCGATCTGTTTGGAGTCAAGTGTAAAGGAAACCTCAGAGTCCCCACCTGTGGCCCACTTTGTCTGGAAGGGTTTCTTAAGTGACTGATCTCCGAGGGCAGAAATGCCTTGGTGAGCTGCGTCAATGCAGCTGTCAGCCTTATATTGATTATCTCCCAATCTATAAGCCTGTGTGTGTTTACTCTTAATACCTGTAATCACTTATAATGTGGTGTGGTGGTTAAGAGCATGGGACTGAGACGATCTGGGTTCGAGTCCCCACTCGGCCATGGAGCCAACTGGGTGACTTTGGGCCAGTCACAGACTCTCAGCCCAACCTACCTCACAGGGTGGTTGTTGTGGGGATAAGATGGAGGAGGAGAATGATGTAAGCTGCCTTGAGCCCTTTGTAGGAGAAAGGTAGGATATAAATTGGAAAATAAATAAATAAATAATTAAAAATAATCTTTATAAAGAAATCCCTATGTGGTATATATTTAACAGTGCTAAAATCACATCTTAAAATAGATGGTTAAAACACAGCCTGTTCTTAGAATTAAGACTATTTTCAGTTACCCGTCTAAATAAAAGCAAAACAAAAAATGTCTAATGGAGCGGCAGAATGATTACATATGTTTACTTAAAGGGCAGATAAAGTCTAGCTTTAAAAGAGTGTTTTTAGGAGGTGATAAAAGCATACCATATTTTCTGCCTCCCAAGCCAAATAGGGTGGGATGTTCCAGAGGATGGAAAAGGCTTCTGAGAAGGCTGGCATCATGTTGCGTGGTAACCGTCTGTTGGCTATAGAATGACTGGTGAGGCTTCCTCGGAAGAGCTGAAAGATTGCCAGGGAATATACAGGGGGAAAAGATCTCTTACGTGTCCTGGTCCCAAGCTGTTGAGGGCTTCATGTGTCACCCTGGACATGACTCAGCAGCTAATCAGCAGCCCACACGGTTCTTTTAAAATAGGTGCGATGTCAACATGGCTGGCGGTCTTAGGTACCGCATTCGGCACCAGCCACAGCTTCCAAACCAGGCTCGAGAGCGACTGCACGCAGAGCGTGTGCTTTTCAGTACCGTCGCCATGCGCTTGCTTGTGCATAAGCCACAGTGGCTGGGCTACGTGTCCAGGCACCAGTTGGGTTGGCTTACCAGCCAAAGTGGATCATGGACACACTGTTCCACTGAGGTCATGCCGGTGTCCCAAGGACAGGTCTAGGAGCACTGCCAAATGGGACTCGCTCCCAGGACAACGGCGTGTCAGATGTTTCGCTGCCAATTTTGAAGCTGTTGTGCTTTTTAACCACCCAAGGTTCAACTCTTCCACCCATTCATTTGTTCTGAGTAAAAGGTGCCCAGTGCTGAAATTAGCAGTTTCTCTCACCCGACACAGTTTCTCCATTTGGTCCAGTGGTGGCAGCTGCTTAGGATTTCGCTTATTTTTACTCGGCCTGCCCTGGCAAGCATAGAACACCCTTTGGTGCTTGTGAGGAATGACCAGGCTTTGGCCTGTGGATTAGTGCTTAGGCTCAGTGTCTCACCGCTGAGTGTTCAGTGCAACGTGTGCTCTCCCGGTTCATTTTCCCTGCGGAGGGGAGAGGTGAGGATGGGGAGCTGCTTCTGGCGCTGGTCACGGTCGGGGCTCAGAGCCCTTGCACCAAAGCAGCAGCCGGACCCTCGTCCCTCCCCTTTCCCAGAGGGAAGATGGACAGGGATATCTTTTCGTTTAGGTGGAAGCACTTGTCTCCCGGCAACTGGGCAGGGTGGCAAGGACAAGGCTGTCACAATTTTTGCATGGCTAGGGAGACCAGCAAAACTTGTGGACCGCTGCTTCCGCGGCACTGTTCCTTCCGTTAAAATGTGCGTTTAGAGACAAGCAGAAGATGCGTGAACTCGTCCAAGTGCATATGGAAATCTAAATGAGGCTGTATTAAGAAACTGGTGAACTTCCTAGCCAAAATAAAAGAAGCACATCCAGTGAAGACTTCACAAAAAAGTGTTTTTAGAAGTATAGCCAATAACCTGGGTTTCTTCTTTTTTTACCTAAGAGTTCAGGAAGAGTGCCGAGCTGCTAAAGGGGACTTGGAAATTCATCTCTATACTCTTGAAAAGAAGAGAAAGCCGTCCCACAGTTTTCAGCGGGTGAGACGTGTTTTCAGAAATGTGGTGGGTTCTGTGCATAGTGCTAGTTAGCCAGGTAGGGATGCAGGATCTCTGTGTATGGTTGAAAGAGGGCTATTGAGAAGAAGGATGCGTTCGGTGCAGGGGGAGCCTTCCAGAGCAGCCAGGCCTGTACAAATGAGAGTCTTCCACTCGAACTCTAGTGGAACTAGTTTTCTGGCACATAACTTGCCAAAGAGTGCAGTATAACTTCTAAACGGGTACCTAAGTGGAAAACTAGGAGACTGAAACCCATCTTAGTTGGGAAGGTTTATCCCTGAGAGAGAATAGTATTTCACACTGCAAACGTTTCCCTTGATCTTGATTTATTTCCTCCCCTTCTTCCCTGCTATTGTGAAAGAGTGACTATCAGCCGGGCAGCGGGCGATCCTTACGAAGAACCCAGCGCAAGCGCCAGCATGCTTACCAAACACGCTCCACTATCGAACATCATTCCCAAGGCGTAAGGAGGCGCTCGCACACCCAGGAAGACTCTGACAGTTCTTCTGAGGTCAGGCATCTGAAGGTTTTTTCCCTTGCAATTTCATCTCTGTCCATGCTGGGATTGTCCTTTGCTCCGCCCAACAATTTAAAGAGTGATTCTAATTATTACACTGTTAGGGAAGAACACATTGCAAAAACAAAGCAGAACAAAAAAGGCAATGCCGTGCCTATAGCGGCTGGAGGAAGTGTGGGGGGCGGAGGTAGTAGTCCTTTTCATTTTCAAACCATGCATGCATAGGATTGAGCCCAAAGAGACTGAATTCCCTACTGCGAAATCTCTGTTCCAACGTCCCTCCGCCATGGACTTGAAGACACTCTCAACCGTACTCAGGGGATGAGGCATAATAACACCTTGCAGGATTGTTATAAGGATTGCAACTAGATCACTATGGTTCTTTGAGCTATCTCTGCTTAGCAATGTTTTACTCCTGTCTTCCCCAATCTGGTGACATCCGGAAGTGTTAGACTACATGATTGAAGGATATGGTCCGATACATCTGGAGACACCAGGTTGGGGAAGGCTATCTTCATGTTATCTGCAGGATATCTTTAAATATAACTTCCTAAGAGAGAAAGTTGGGTGCTTACTCACAAACAGGTTTTTTGCTATATCAATGGCACTCCAATAGTCTTGATTTTAAAGGCAGATATTTTCACTTGCACTTCCTGCTCACCTGCACATTGAGTCTCCGGAACAACTCCCAAAGTTTCCCTTAGTGGTTGGTTTCTGATTTTGCCGAGTGAAACAGGAGGCCGGCGTGTGAGTGTTCTCTGTTGCACTGTTTGTCTGTTAGCAACAGGGCGCTTTAGCCAGCGTCTCCTGAAGTGTGGCACCAAACAACTTGCAGGGAAAATGCACCATTTGGAGCTTCTTTATGCTTGTATTGATGGTGCAAATGGACAAAGTGTGCTGTTTTTCTCTCCCCTGCCCCCCTTAACTCAGGAAGATGACACAGCGGGCACAAGTGATGCATCCGTCGATGACAACGTGGCCGCCTGGCAGAGTGAAAGCAGCTCCAGGTAGTTTCACGGCAGCACACCCACTCCAGCAGGGCAGCCCACCCATTTTTACACTGATAATTTATTGCTACATCTGAATCCAGGTCCACTGAGTTCTTGTGGGGGGGAGGGGGGATAGGAGGAGATAAACTCCCTCTGGCCTTTTTCTGGCCTTTACTTCTCTGCTCATATGAATGCATAAGGTCAGATGGGACTGTGTTTATATCGATAAAACTGAGATTTACCAACTGTATCCCTAGGTCCCATGTCTGAAAGGAATAATGGTTGTGAAGCGCAAATAAAAGTTTGCTTTTAGTTGGCTTTACTCCTGGTATTCTGTTTTGAAATTACTTGCAGATGTTTGTATGGTTTTAATGTGAATAAACCTATGCTCTGAGGTTCCTTAGAACAGACCTTTTTGCCAACAGTCTAGACTTCTCTTTGTAACCTTTAAAATGTGTTTTCTGCTTATATGTGATGTTTCCAGTGATTCATCCAGTGAATATTCTGACTGGACTGCAGATGCTGGAATAAATCTCCAGCCTCCAAAAAGGCAAACAAGACAGGCAGCTCGCAAAATTTGTAGCAGCTCCGAGGATGAAAATGTAAAAGATACAAAAGGGCAGGAAGAAAAACACAAAAAACCCAAACAGGCCCGAAAAAAGGTCAGCAGGCCTTCTCACATGGTGGTTGCTTTCTTCAGGGGCGTGTGAATTAGCCGCTCACTCTGCTTGTATCTAAACTCTGAACTTGTGTGTTTTAAGAAACCTAGTGGATTACTTTCCATCGATGGTGAACCCACTGAGGAGTGGTTTGCTCCCCACTGGATATTGGATACCATTCCACGACGTTCCCCCTTCGTCCCACAAATGGGGGACGAGGTAACTATTCATGTTGTTAGTTGCGTGCTCCATCCTGTCCCCAGAACAGCTTGCGTCACCCAGAGCTGGCCGGGTCCTTTTCTGTGGCCTGAAGTCAGCACAGAGAAAGGCAAAATGGGCGGGGAAGAAGCAGGGCAGTGGCCATCGTCTGGTCCATAGAAGGCCCACGAGGGGCAATTCAGTCTTCCAGTCATGGTTTCTCAGCGGTCCTGGCTTACCAAGGAACGTGGCCACACACCAGTGATTCACTTTCTGGAAGAAAGCTAATTTTAAAAAGCAAATTGCAAATGATGGAGCTTTTGGCATTTTAAACTTGTTAAAGATAAGCTGCTTTCAGAAGTCAGGCTTGGTGTATGAATCCTCTTCCTTCCTTTCTTTCAGATAATCTATTTCAGGCAAGGGCATGAAGCTTATGTCCGTGCGGTTAGGAAAGCAAAAATTTACAGTGTTAACATGCAAAAGCAACCGTGGAATAAAATGGAACTCAGGGTAAGTGGAGCTTCACAGGGTTTTAAAAATACTGTCAGTTATATTAGCAAGCTGCCTTGTTAGGCTGTTGGGCCACATACTCTGTATTGTGTCCTCTGTGTCGCAGCAGCTCCTTAATTTGTAGAGGAGTCTTTCTCTCCCCTATCTCAATCTCTCTGTGAATGAGAATTTTCAATAATCATATCCATTATCTAAGCTGTAGATTGTGATGTACCAAGCGGAGAACAGAGTCAAAGTGTATCTGGCAAGAAGTATACCTGGACTGCCAGGAATGACTAACTGGGGACCGCTGTTAGTTTTACGCTGCTGAGTGGGCAGCATCAGAGCTGACATTAAGACGTTTCCCCCACGTATTATAGATATGTGTGTGAGAATGTCGACATGAATGGGTGTGAGAGGTAAGGCAGGATGAAAAGGTATGCCTTTTGTCCGTTGTTAATTGGATAACATCCGTTCAACGCTGTCCATCCCTTCCACTCAAGAACCCAAGGGCAGTGTTTTTCCCAGAGCAAGAGCTGTTCTGAGCCGGTCGCTAGAAGGGTGCTCTCTATCATACTGGGGCCAATGAAAAGTGCGATATCAGTGTTGTTGATAAGTAATGCATGGACAAGATCAGCAGTTGAGAGACTCCACATCTGGAATCAAGGTGGAGTGAGAGCTTTAGCCAAGTCTTTGCATGAGTGCTGTGGACTGTATCCGAGAATCGCTGTTGGACAGGCAAATGTGTCTTCTCAGTGCATTTGAACAGCTGAAAACCATTTCCGCATCTGACCTTGTATAGTCCATTTTTTAAAACGTCGTGTTCTGATTAGATTCCAGTTTGGAGAGTGACGCGTCCAAAGTGCAGCTGATTCTGATGTCTAGAATGGGGGTGGGAGGGGGACAAGAGATTATTAGTACTTTGTGCATATTCACCAAAGGGATAAAATGCACACAGCCCTGAGCCTTTGACCTCTACTGTGTGTTTTATAAACAGGAACAAGAATTTGTGAAGATTGTGGGAATTAAGTATGAGGTTGGACCACCTACGCTTTGTTGCTTGAAGCTAGCCTTTCTTGATCCCATCGCAGGCAAAATGACTGGTGAATCATTTTCCATAAAGTAAGTGACTATAAAAGGTAAAGGTTTCCCCTTGACATTAAGTCCAGTCATGCCTGACTCTAGGGCACGGTGCTTATCTCCGTTTCCGAGCCGAGGGAGCATGTTCGTGTGGCCGGCATGACTAAACACCGAGGTTCACAGAACACTGTTACCTGCCTACCGAAGTGGTACCTTTTTATCTACTTGCATTTGCATGCTTTCGAACTGCAAGGTTGGCAGGAGCTGGGACGGAGCAATGGGAACTCACCCCATTGTGCAGATTCGAACCGGCGACCTTTCGATCAACCAGCCCAGCAGCACAGCGGTTTAAACCACTGCGCCACCGGCAGTCCCAAGTGATTATAGAGGCTAGCAAAATTTTATGGTGATGCTGGCAATTGTTAATTCACATCCACCTGCTGTCCCCAAGCCTGTCAAGGAAAAGAAGTGTGCGATACGACATCCACGAGTTTAGCATCTTCCTTCTCCTGTAGGAACAGCCAATGAATTAAAGTCGGAGGCAGGGAAATAGCCATCATGTGTTTCTTTATGGAAATATCTTTGAGAAGGTGTGATGAGAAGGGTGGCAAAAGCCCTCCCTACCCGCAGGGAGATGCAGTTCAGAGCTAAACGCATGAGGAGGAGGAAGACAAAAAGCCTTCCTGTAGCATTAGTTCCTGTCTCCAAAGAGAAATTCCATTTAGCTTAGGTGCTCGTGCCTATTAATTAATTAATTAATTATTAAAATAGAATAATAATCTAGACCCCGTGAGGTTAGAAATGATTTGAATATATTCATAAGCCGCCTGCATTTTTGGTTGCACTGCTGCTAACTGAAGGGTTCATTCCTCTCTCAGGTACCACGACATGCCGGACGTGATTGATTTCCTTGTGCTGCATCAGTTTTACAATGAAGCCAAAGAACGGAACTGGCAGATCGGTAAGTATCGGTTTGCTGTTCCGGAGCTCCTTGTTAAATCTGTAAACATCTGTTTCTTTTAGAATCTGATGTCTTTTTATAGGTATAGGTATCAATATTAGCAATTAATGCACGCGCCTGCTTTTAAGCAGACTGTAAAACGAAGTCCAGCATGCACACCTTTATCCAGAAATTTGTGCAGGAGGGAGTAGGTTCCAGCTTGTGGTTTTTTGTTCTTTGTGTGAGCGCATGCGGTGTGTGATCCAGCTTTTCTGTTGCAGGAGACAGATTTCGCAGCATAATCGACGATGCATGGTGGTTTGGAACAGTAGAAAGTCAGCAGCCATTCCAGTCTGAATATCCTGATAGTTCCTTTCAGTGCTACAGCGTTCAGTAAGAATGACTCTAAGCTGGGCTTAAGTTTTGTACTTCCTTTAAACAGACCAAAGAAAACTGTATCTCTTGTGAGAATGAAGCAGCCCCGAGCCATTACTAGATGGGTGGGTGGAATCATTTAACTCATCCCTCCACCATTCTCCCACATCTGGGCTCCCCCCTTCCCTTTTATCCAACATACTAGACTTTCTTCACTTCGTGGTACCTTAATAGGTTGATTGAGAATTATTAAATTTGGATAACTAGGAATTTTACCAGATAGTTGCTGCTGGCAAACTTGTTGCAACATCTTTTCTGGAGGGATCATGGCTCAGTAAATATGGCACGTGCTCCAAATGCAGCAGTTCCCATGCTCAGCCTCTGGCATCAAACAAAAAGGTGCTACATGATGGGAAAGGCCTTCCTTGTCTTGGACCCTGGAGAGCCCAGCGGAGCAGACAACACAGGGGCTAGATCATATTGCACTGCAAAAGGTGGATATAATTGCATTATAGTGAATAGACAATCGTGCTTAGCATTTATATGCTGCTTTACAGTACTGGGCCTGCTTCATATATGACATTTTCATAATCTTTGTATTGGCCTCATAGGGTAGGTCAGCTTTATTTTCTATTGTAGATGGACCAGAGACACAGAGGACAGAAAACACTGGTGCCACTGGGAACTCCCTTTGAAACACAGGTGGAAGTTTAGGGGAGGTATCCTGGGAATGACAGAGAGTACAAGAATAGGAGAAGGCTTTCCCTTTGCTGCTTTGTACACTGCAAAAACCTGTGTGCTCACATAGTTAACTCTGTCCTAGAGTTTCTGTTGTGTGTTAGCTCAATGTCTTCTAAGTTTTAAAATGACTTTTTCTTTCAACAGCTGGGATAATAATGAAAGAGAGAAGATGAGTCCCTGGGACATGGAGCAGATTCCCGAAGGAAGTAAATAATGCTTCCCTATCCCCCATCCCTTTTCATTTGCATGCCAGTTCATGTTATGCTAGTACAATCATGTGACTGTACAGTTGATCCAAGTGAACGCCCCTCCCTCGTTTCTTGCAGCTGCTTATCCAGAAGAAGTCGGGGCTGGAGTCCCCGTGACAACAGAGGAACTAGCATCTCTGCTCTACAAGCCACAGGAGGGCGAATGGGGCTCCCATTCCCGCGATGAAGAATGTGTGCGAGTCCTTCAGGGCATCGATCAACTTCTTTCCCTAGGTATTGCAGGCCTAGAAGGAAAAGAGGCGGAGATGATGTCGGGGAAAGGAGCAGTCTGTCTAATGCCAGAGCCAGAGCCTGAAGTGCTCTGGGCTTCCGTAGATGCTGTGTGTTTGCCTGTTTCAAAAGCGGGGTTTTATTGCATGTGTGATTCGTGTCCCTCACAGAAGTCTGAGGCTGAGTCCTTGCACCCTGGCACAAACATTTCTTCCTGTCAATAGCTCATCTGTACCAGTCGTGCATTACTGATCCTGTTCTGGCTCTTGCCACGTTCTTTCGCTGTCCCTGCGTCACTTGAAACATTTGAACATTCCATGACAACTGTTCTGCTTATGGTGGGGCTACAGCATGAACAATAAAAATAATATATTCTGTTTCATGCTCACTTTGAGATAAGGGCTTTTGACATTTAATGTAGTATATGCCTACTGTTTTTACTGAGAACATCTGTATTTCACAATTTGGCTTCTCCCTGTCACAACTTACGGAATTTAATCAGCTTTTCTTCTCTCTCTCTCTCGGTTTAGATATTGCCAACCCCTTTGCTGTCCCCGTGGACCTTAGTGCCTATCCTCTGTATTGCACTGTTGTTGCTTATCCAACTGACCTCACCACAATAAGGAGAAGACTTGAAAACAGATTTTACCGGTCAGCTTGATGCATTTTGTCCATCACATATTGTTAAATGCCTCTGCCTTTCAAGCATGGTTGCTAAGCTGAATCTGCTGTAGCTCTAGCATCATTGAGAGTTTGTCCAGCTTCACTTAACTACAGAATCCAGTGACATCAGGCTAATTTACACTCAGTATCTAAGACCTCCCCCACCCCCATGAGTTATATTTCTGAAATAGGCCAGGATGCATGGTTTTTTACTTGCTCCCTAGTGACTTGTGATTCTTAAGAAAGACTTCCTATTTGACCTGCTTCTGATATTCTTCTAAGATTTCTATCCCAGAGGGCATCTGTTCAGAGGTTCAACAGTCTCATGTTGTGGGATACCAACGTGTCACCGTTTATAACAGTGACATGGTGAACAATAGCTCTTCTAATTGTCTTTTCTTCCGTTGACGTTTATGCTTAAGGTTGGTTTTTTTTTAATTGTCAGTATTCACCACTTACGCAAAGCCAGTGTAGTTTCTGTAAAGAGGTTTCCAGTCACAAAATAACTTGTATTTCTGAATGTATTACCATCTTTTCTAGGAGAATATCTGCTCTAATGTGGGAGGTACGATACATTGAGCATAACGCTAGGACCTTCAATGAGCCCGATAGTCCTATAGTTAAAGCAGCCAAAATTGTAACAGACGTCTTACTTCACTACATTGGGTAAGCACTCTGTCTTCCTCACAGTCTACAGCTGAGAAATAGTTTTTGTAAAACTTGCTTGACCAGTAAAGCCTTTCCTGAACTGCTGCAGTTGCTTCACCTGTGTGCATATTTCCTCCCTGCTTTTATGCTGAAAAGTAATTCCCACTCCCATACTTCTCCTTGTCCAGTGTGAGAAGCAATCCCACAGCAAATTCCCATGACTGAGCTGCATTTTTTCTACATGACCCATCTCCTGTGACCTTGTTAATCATCTACTAGCGATGTGGTGTTTTATCTGGCATGGAAATGGTACTTTGGTAACTTTGGTATCTTTTAGGGATCAGAGTTGTACAGATATTCTGGAGATCTATAACAAAGTGAAAGCAGAAGACTTGAGCAGCACAGAGGAAGAGGAGGAGGTAAGAAAAAGAAAAACAGAGAACCTTGAAGAACAGAGTTAATTTGGCTTCCCGCATGCTACCACTCCTGTTAACAGGCAAAGCAACTTCAAGTTTGCATTGGTTTTAAAAGGCACATGTACAAATAGTTGGATTATTAAAATATTTGCCACACCTTTTTGAAGTGAAAAATGCAGTGATTGATCTGTTCAGAAAACACAGGAGAGGTTTTTCAGGCAAATTTGATCAGTCCCCAGAGGGGTGGCATCAAAGGTAGGGAAGGCTGAGCACCTGCTTAAGATTCACTCCCCAGCCAGAGGCCCACTGATAAGCACCTCTTACGTTTCTGCCTCTTCATCATTGCATCCCGCTTGTTCACCAGCCTCTCATGTGAGCTCAGGCAGCAGTCCTGGCGAGAGGGGGAAGCAGCAGATACAGCCGCCTGCTGGCTTCCTGCCTGCCAAAGCAAGAAAGTGGTAGCCATGATAAAGAAGCAAGAGCAGCTCAGAGCCATGGCCATGAGAGAGTAGTGAATGAATGGGTCCATCGAGAGTGTCTTGGCCAAAGGCCATCCTAATCCTCCAGCCAGCGCTGCTTCCCAAGCCCTTTGGGGGACCAAAAGGCGTACAGAGAGGGCCTGTTTTTAAATCCTGAGTCAGTTTTCGTGCTCCCACTAAATGTGTGTAACTCACCGCATTTTGTAATTGGAAGAAACTCTCTTTCATCCATGATGGGTGGGGCTTTGCCAACAGCTTCCACGACTGCCCCTTCCTTGGCATGTAGTAATTTTGCTTTCCTTCAGGTGGCAGAAACGTGCGCTGATTCAGATGGCCCGGGAACTTCCTCTGGGAAAAGAACTGTAAGTGCTGCCGAGTTGCCATTCAGAGCCAGTTTTTGGATAACTGTCAACACATTATGTTTAACTGCATGGCCTTGATTCAGAAAACGCATCCCATTTTGTATGACTATCGATTAGTCTTTTAGTTTTAATAACTATGTATGATCCCAAAGTCAAACATGGCACAGGGTAAATCATTGAGTTGAAAAAAAAAAAGCTGATGGCAGAATTAATCACCAATGCATTACCCTCCCCCTCCCACTCTAGTGCCTGATGGAAACAGAATGATTGGTGATGAAAGAGCATTATGCACAACTGCAGAGCATAATCCCCTGATGAGCAGGAGAGAATTCTGAAGGCTTTCTGACTTCTTTCCGGTCTTACAGTTGCTTACTCCTGGCCTGGCTCGCGTTGCCTTCCAGCTTATCTGTGTGGTTCTTAGATCACTGCCTCCTCTTTACAACAAAATAGTTTTATTCAGTTAGGACTTAATCGTAGGAGATGGGTCCTTTGGAGAAGAAGTCTTTGCCAGAGCCTGGTCTAACAAACATCCCCTGCTGCTTCTCTAGAGCAAGGTTAGGGGTTTGGGAATGGCGTACTGGCTGGTTCAAATTCATTTGGAAAAGGTTGCTTCTGTGTTTGCAAGCCAGGCTGAGGACCTTCCATCCGTCCATCCATCCGTCCTTCCTTCTTAAAAGCTTTTCTATCCCGTCCCCTACAAATGTCTCATTTTTAAAACTCCTTTTAAAACATAGCAATTTTACCAGCATATCTACTCTTCACTTGACCTTAGTGTGATGCAGTGTGCCTGGTCACATGACGCCTAAACTAAATGAGATGGAAGAAATGGTTTTCAAATATGATGAGGGTTGGATGCTGTTCTCTTCAGGTAAAACGGCAGAATAAAGGACAGGCTTCAAAACCACATGCCGAAGCTTGGAATGAGCAGTGCAAGCAGTTATTAAGCCTGATTTATGAACGTGAAGACTCTGAGCCATTCCGACAACCTGTTGATCTCTTTTCATATCCTGTAAGTTTTGCCGTGCTTTAGTTCAGGGAAGAAGAAGAAAGAGATGCGTGGAACACAGGGACTCTGTCCTCATCAGTGGTCACGGCCTGCCCCTGGTACCTTGCTGAGCTTTGCTTGCTTACTTCCAGCCCTGGCTTTGCACTTCACTAGGCTGCTTAAGGACGTGAAAGATTCTTGGTATCTGAATCCTGCATTTATTTCTGGATGCCATGTTTGCACTGCATAGTTGCGGAAAACCGCCCTCACAAGTTTCTGTAAAATCCAGACAAACGAGGCCTGTTCCATGAGGTCAAAACCCCTGTGCTTTCCCTGATACAAGCTCATCCTGGTTTGGGTGACACTGGGGAAACTTAGTGGGACCCTTGGCAGTGAATGCATTCACTCCTTGGTGATTTCTAGTTTCATGAACTGGGACAGAAAATACCACCAGGCTCTGCGTTATGTCTGCTTTTCTGCCCCTGCCAAAGTTGGGATTCAGTACAGAAACTTTAACAAAAAATTATGCAGGGAAGCAGATAGATAGTGTCCGTACAGACTTTTCTCTTTGAAAGCCAAAAAGATCCCAGGTCAAAAGAATCCCAAGAATGGTTGATCTGTATCATTGGAGTGCTTCTTTTGACCTCAGCTAATGGGAAATACGTGTGTTGGGAGAACCAAGAGTTTTTTCAAAGAGAAGCTGGCACAGGCAGATGTAAGTTCTCTGCATTTGACACCAGGTGCTCTGAATTGTATTGGAACATTTTACTGCCATTAAAATTTTGGCTTGGAAGAGGGCCAGGACTCATTCATGTAATATTTGTATTTTTGGTTTATGAGTAACATGCACAAAATGTTTCTTCTAGGATTATCGAGATATTGTAGACACACCAATGGACTTCAGTACTGTGAAAGAAACTTTGGAAGCTGGTAATTACACAAACCCCCTTGAGTTCTACAAAGATGTTCGCTTGATATTCTGCAACTCCAAAGCGTACACTCCTAATAAGAAGTCAAGGGTAAGATGCAAAAGCCTTCCAATCTGAAATGTGCCGATGAGGCAGGAAAGAAATTTGAATAGGAGCATGCTCGTGTTACGATCTTAAAGTTGCACCCTAGCTCAGGAGCCATATCCTTACATAGATAAGGACCGAAGAAAGCCATGCTGGACCAGAGTCCATCCAGATGTCTGTGGGGAAACCCACAGGCAGGAGGGTTTCCCCATCCCCTCCGTTTCATGTAGCCCAGCAACTAGCACCCAAAGGCAGGCGGCCTCTGGTACTTGGGGCAGGATATGGTCACAGCTAGACTGTTCAAGTGTGCATGAACACGCGTCTCCTGGTTTGTGAGCAGACTTGCTGTCTTCGCTGTGTAGGAGAGCTTCATAAGCTGTAGTTGGGGGAGGCATGGACACCCTCCGCCACCCCGGCAGGCAGGGAACGAGGCGGTATGCCCTCGTTGCATTGGCTGGATCAACAGCATGTGTTGTACGGGGTGGAGTGTTGAAATGGGGCTTTCGGTGAGGGCGATTAGGGTCTGGGCTCCAATTCCCACTCAGCCATGACGTTCGTCGGGTGAGTTTGGGCATTGGTGCTCAGCCTCATCAACCATGCTGGGTGATCATGAGGATGGAACGGAGAGAAGGCAGAAGAATGATGCCACCACCCTGCAGGGAAAAAGTCAGGATATAAGCGTTGTGAATACATAAGCGCGGCGTCTCCTCCCATCATGTCAAATGTGGATAAAATCAGGATTTTGCATTCTTTTTGTTGATTGTGGGAGGTATGAAAGGGTTCGCTTCAAGACTAGTGCTGCATGGCACTATTTTTAATTACCCCGTGGGAGGGCAGTTAAAAAATAGCATTGTGGCGGCTTCGACAGTTCCCACCGCACAATGTGAAGTGCTGCGTCTCCTCTAATTAAAGAGGGGCTGTAACTCAGCGGAGGGCTGGGTGGTTTGCAGGCAGGAGGGCCGGGTCCGGCCCCTGATCACGGCCCTGGCCACTGCCTGTCCGGACGCACAGAGCAGGGAGACTTGCAGCATGCCTTGCAGACAAGGGTTCTCGTTCCAGTGCCCAGCATCTCCGCTTAATGGCCACGGACTGCAGGGCTGCTAAGTAATAAGCCTCCGTTACCCAGAAGGTGTGTACGTGGACTGGTGCCTTCTGGGTGCTCCCCTTGTCCCTTGCCATTGTCTCTGCTGGTTGGGACCGAAGGAGAGTCGTGTCCTAACAGTCGGGGCACGAAGCTTCATACCTCTGGTTGGGACCCTGGCTGATGTGACTTAGCAGCTAGGGTTAGAGGTTCTTGCCGTGGTACATTTTCCATGTGGATCTTCCTCTAGTTATATTTGCATACAATCTGAAAGAAGATCTATTTGGTTGGACATGTTTTATATGATGCAGGTCACTAAAATGATGGTAGTGTCCTGTCATATTAACCTGAATACCGGTGACATGTACCAAACAGTTGAGAGCGGGCTTGGCTGGCCATGCAGCCAGCCTACTGGTCCCTCTCAGGTTGGGCTGCTGTATACCTGGCCTCTAAAGACTGTTCTTTCTTCATCTTACACTGAACTCCCTCATCTCCCTGCCCATTAAATGCTCCAGATCTTTAGATTAGTTCAATGTTGGATGGACCTATACATTTTTGTTGTCCACATTTTCACCTTTTCCTTCGTCCAGTACAACCAGGGCAATGCATAAGGAGTGCCCTGTTCTCATCCTTACAACAGTCCTGCGAGGTAGCACAAGCCAGTGGGGGAGTGCCTGGACAAAGGTTGCCCAGGGCGTTTTCAGGCCGAGCAGGAATTGGCGGTCGAGCAGGTCTCACCCATCCAAGCCCAGGGCTACGGCTGCCGCACCATGCAGAATCTCATGACGCAATCCTTCATTTCTCCCCATCCCAGATTTACAGCATGACACTCCGATTATCCGCCTTGTTTGAAAACCATATTAAGAACATAATCTCTGAGTACAAGTCTGCAGTGCAATGCCAGAAGAAGCGAAGGCCGCGGCTACGGTACCGAAAGCGCCTCCGGAGCAGCAGCAGTTCTTCCTCAAGTAGCAGAGCGCCCAGGTACCTTGCTGCCCATGCCGTCACGACATGCTTGTTTATATCGCTGGTGCCCCCCTCCCCAAACAGTACACACTGCAGCAAAAGCAGGAAGAACAGGCTCCACCAAGCAAGGCGGAAATGCCATGCGCTCATTGCGTTCCCCTGCCCTCAGTTCTGCATTTGGCGGGTTGTCGGACTTGCTCTGCATCCTTGTTTGCTTATTGGCCCAATTAGATTTTGCAGAAACACGGCCCTATTTGCACTTGCTCAGATCTGCAGTTCAGCAAATTCTCAGCTGCAGTGGGAAACGCGGTCAGGAGTGGTGCACAGTGGGCGACTCGGGGCCCCCCAAATGCTTCAGCGTACATCTCCCGTCAGCCCTCACCAGTAAAGCCAGTGGCAAGGGTTGGTGGGAGCCATAGGGCAAAATGGCTGGAGGGCCACAAGTTACTCTGCCTGGGTACAAGATCCACGGCTCACATTCACATCTGGTCCTGAGAGAGAAAAGTCACAACCATAGCACATGATAGTACGTTTTGGGGGCTCCTTGGAATTTTTGGAGTAGGATTATATGGAAGCTGAGGTTCCTTGTTAAAAATGTGTGTGTGTTTTTTAATGCCTTTAGCCCAAAGGGAAAACAAAAACAACTGAAGATGCAGCCTAAAACAAACTCAAATACCTCACTGCCTTTAACTAGGACTAATTCTTCAGTTTCATCTCATGGTAAGTGGAATAGATTTTACATCCTAGCACCACAGTCTCTCATTCCAACAATCCAGATTCAGTAGATCTTTTCAAGGCTCGCCTTTTACATGCTTGAGAAGCAGGGACTTTCCATTCCCTTCCCACCAGAAGCTGCGGGTTTTACTCACAGGGGCTGCCACTGACCCCATACCAATTTGGCCCCAAAAGCCTGAACAGCTGGATGTACCCTCGAAAACACTAAACCATTGCTGTCACTGCCCATTCACGCTTGCTTCTTTATTCCGTTTGTATGGGCTCCCTGCCCCCTTCCCCCAAGATCTGGGCACTGTGTGCTTCTGCATCTTATGCCCGTCGTTCTAAGCAAGTGAGGAGACGGTCAAAGCATTAGAGAAAAATGTTAGCATCCTCTCCCAAATCAGCAGTCATACGGAGCCATACGAAGCATAACAGCGAAAGGCTTGGTCTCTTTAGGAATTAAAGCTGAGTTAATTTTGTGGCCTCTCTAGCTTTGCAGGATGCCAACTCTGACATGAGTCTTAGACCCAGAGGAGTTTCCTTAGAGGTGTCCTCACAGCAAGTGTTTGAGACCTGCTCGCCCTCATTCTACTAAACCAAACCAAACTGTGAATTTGCACTTTCAGATCCTTGTATCGACCTTTTCTTCAATGGCACCATTTTACTTCTGTTACCAAGCAAATGTCCTCCTTTCTAAAGTTTCAGATACTACTGAGGAACCACCTGGCTCAGCAACTGCTGAAGAAAGGGAAAGTCATCCATCCTCATCTGGATCAAACATCCTGAATCGTAGTGGAAATGATGCTGAACCAGGGAAAAACAGGCTAGTCAGAAATAAACTGACTCCAGTTAAACAAGGTGGGAAACTACAAAAATCAGGATACTTCCTTTTCCTTTTTTGTTGTGTGATTTGGATTTGTGAAGCAAGGATACTTAGAGCAAGGGATGGTCCTAATCTTTATAGCCTTCTTTTTTGTAGCCATGGAGCAACCAATAATGTAGCAGAGTCCTCATTGGTTCTCAGATTCCTGCTAGATTTCCCTCCTGGGATTTATCTCCCCACTGTACCTTGGCAAAGGTTTACTCTGCTTGTATTTAGCTCCTTTTGCTGGACCCTCATTTTGTCTTCAGTTGATATTGATGAGCTTTAAGTGATTACCTGGGGTCATTTGATCACTCAGTAAATAACAAGCAAGTAGCACATACCTTCTCCTTCCCTGGGTGCTTCGGTAGCTTGTGCGCTGGCACTCGGCCGCTACGGCTGAGGGGTTTAATTGCTGAGGCTCATCACAGCTGGGCCTCACACATGCAGGCCGTAGAATCACAGCTTAGTTCAAGGCCCAGTGCCGTCTGGTGGGCCTTGCAGAAGGCACGTGTTGGCCTTTCGGTTCAGCAAAGCACTTAAACGTGTGTGCATTTTTTAAAAGCTCACCATATTTTGTATTTTGTGGCTTGCATTTGGGTAGATGCTAAACATACTGTACTTCCAGGACATGTTTGTAGCCTGGCAGAGGAATTCATGACGAAAATAACACATTTCATCTAGACTGGAATGAACGTGGTTTTCTCCCGGAGAGCTGAGACCAAACACTGTTGTGGCACTGTTGACAAATGCATGTTTATTTGCTTCAAATTCTATAGATCAGCCTTCGGAAAAGCCTCTGACAAATGGTGATGGCAGAGAACTCCGGGCAGCCGTCAAGCGAAAGCTGTCAAGTGCATCAGAAGAGGACGAACAGACTAGTGAGGAGAAGAAGAGAGAACAGAAGGAAAAGCCAGGTGTATCTTCCTCAGAGAGTGGGGACTCACAATCAGGCTCAAGTTCTGAGAGCCGTTGTGGCTCTGATTCAGACTCTGAATCGAGCTCCAGGACCGATCAGGACTACGTAGATGGAGACCACGATTACAGCAAATCCGTGCAAGTGAAGCCCAAGAGAAAACTCAGAAGGAACATCTCCAACGGGCAGAGAAATTGGCAGGGTAGAGGGACGGGGAGGAGAGGGCGGTGGGGCCGGTGGGGCCGGTGGAGCAGAGGCGGGCGAGGCAATCGTGGAGGAAGAGGCTGTGGCAGAGGAAGAGGAGGAGGCAGGGGAGGCAGAAGAGGACGCGGGAGAGGAGCCCCGAGAGGAGCCTCCCGAGCAAAGCGCCCCAGGATGGCGGATGACGAATTTGAGAATCTTTTCAGCGGTCGCTTCAGCGAGAATGCCTTTGGGGGCCGGTTCAGTCGGCCGCCTCGGATTAAAACGAGGAACGAGGGCAGGCGGACTGTTTTGTATAATGACGATTCAGATAATGACACTTTCGTGCACACGGAGGATCCCCTGAATCTTGGTACTTCCAGGTCAGGCAGGGTACGGAAAATGACAGAAAAGGCCAGGGTCAGCCACCTCATGGGCTGGAATTATTGACCGAGGGGAAACGGTGGAACTGGACATGGGGGCGAGGACTTCAGAGGCTTTCTACTGCAGGGATTTCTGCCAGAAAATCTACTAAGCAAATTGTGGGGGTGGGGGGGACTCCACTCACATTTTTCTGTGGTGCTTTCCATTTTGCCCATATGTTTTTTGTGTGTTTGCCGACTTCTTATTGCCCCACGTTCTTGGCCAAAAGAAGCCTTACCCATGTATCCTATAACCTGCTGCAAAAATGCTTCCCCACACTACACCTTGAGTTGGTCACAGGGCTGTGGCATTTGAATCATGTTTATGAAGTCTCTCATACTTGCTCTTACTTTTTCTGTGCATTATAGAAACAGCACCTTTTTACAGAGTTCTAAAAACATGGTCTGCCATTAATTCCTCACATACCATAATATCTTTTGCACAATACACCAGTCCTCAAGGCAGCTATAAAATGTTTACAGTTTCTCTATTGTGCACAGGTTCTGGATTATTTGATCTTCCCAGGCCAAACTTTCATGAATTTGTGATGAACTGAAGTGTGTTCATAGTTGGGTATTTTGATATGCTTTCCTCATTGGTTTTTAATTCATGCTTTAAAGAGAGGGAGATTAAGAGAGAGGGTTGGTGCCTTGTAATATGTAGCAAATCTTTGACGTGAGATGTCTAACACATGTTAACAATGTTATAACAGAATACTTGAAAAATACGAATATCTAGACACAGAGGTGCCAAAAGCAAAAGTTGACCTGCATCAATTTTGTTTCTGCTGTCCTCCTATTTTTATTGCATTAATCAAGATTACCACTAAGATGTTGACATCAGTATTGGATTGACTGGCTGTTCATGAACACTTCTTTTCCTAGTAGTTTAGCTACCTCCAGGCATGCAAATAATACAACCTTTACAGTTTTCTTCAGTAATGGGGCTGCAATAGGTTCTATGGAGCAGAGTCGCTCAGTAAACGACAAAATAACTGTTAGTTGGCCTCCAGTCTGACAATCGTACTTGATAAATATTTCACGGATTTGCTAGTTCAGATATTCTGTTGAGTTTGCACATATTTGTGCAAACTACGATATGATTTCCCCCTCTGTCTGTCTCTCTCTCTCTCTCTCATACACGCTACGCTTTGTTTCTGTTTTTAATTTGCCCCTTACAGTGGTAACAGCATCTTTTTTAAAACACTGTTGCCCCCATGCTAATGCACGTAACTGAAGCTCACACATGTGCATTTGATAACATCTCAAGGTTCCAGAAAAGAATTCATTTGCTCTTATCCCAGAGATTAATTGATACGGGAACTCCAGAACTTATGCGAGACCCTATTTTGCAAGTGTTTCCCTGTTTGTTTCGTTGAAGGAACCTGGTTGACTTGCTCCTATTTCTTCATTTAGGGTGACCAGCTTTTTGCGGTTGACATGAGCAGGGAGTCTCACATTGGCAGGGTTTGGATGACAGTGGAAGTGTATGGTTTGATACTGAAAAAGCAAAGTGCACAAGTGGTTTAACAATATGTTAATTTAAGGGAAATTGAGGGTTGAAGAACTATTCTTTTCCTGCTCCTCAAGCATTTAACAGCACATTAATGTTTTGAATGGTGCTTTCCCCCCATGCCCCCGAGATGAAAGAACTTACGTTTTCCTATTTTTTGTAATCTGCAATATAGGAGAATTGAGTGGAGGAAAGAGGAACAGGAGGCCCAAATAAAATGATGGGTATATCATGTGGATCCTTTCCCCCCGGTCTTGCGGGCAAAGTCCTTGCCTAACACTGTTGGTCACAGTTGGCAAACTTCCACACAACAACAGTAGGATTACTTGCATGCTATGTTCAACCAAATGCACACACAGAAATCGCTTAGGTATCCTAAGTGTGAATGGACATGTTTAAACAACCACAGTCAGACGGAAAGCTGTTTGCCAAAGTGTTAAGGACCATGTGGGCAAACATGAAATACTGTCATGGATAAGTGACGGAGCATTTCTAGACGGCCTTAGTTTAGATGCTAGTCCGACAGCCTCATGGAGTGCACAGTTGTGCTAGTTCAGTCACTTCTTTTGCCCATGGGAAGCCTGAGGTGCACACGGAGCTCTCGGCCCCCAACACGGCTCCGTCCTGCTTGGTCCTCTTTGCATGTGGATCTGCTCCCCTTAGTGAAATCACGGAGCAGTAGCCTGAATACACGAGGCCCTTCTATCCATCTGCAAGTATGCATGGCTCTAGCTCAGGACGGGCGAGTAAGGAGTCTCCCAGTTCGGAACAGCGCTTCAGATTTACATGCCGGGGGCAAATTTAAAAGGGCTCTCATATCAGCCTCTTCCTCCACTAGAACATCATGGGTGTTTGAATTTCAGTATATAACCCCACCAAGGGTATGCATAACCACCATGGGAACAAATAATGTTATCTCAATAAATTGATATTCTGGGCCATAGAAGTTTTGTATATTTTTTCCTCTTGCTGAAACCAGTTGTTATTGTACTCAGTGTGAAGAATTCTTTCTTGGGGGAGAGAGAGACTGTGCATTGTTGCTGTTTCCTCTCTAAAATATAGATGTACTTTTTAGCAGCAATTAGTATATGGATGAAAAACCTTCAGTGGTTTCTCGTCCGTAGGTGTAATTATCTAATGTGCAGATGATAGCCTAGCGAAATCATTTCATTGATTAGAAGCGAGTTTTCTAAACTGACAAAGAGCTAGGCAGCAAAGATGTGAAAACAGCAGAGGCTTCACCTGTTCTAAAAGATCAGAGAGTTTCTTGTGCACGGGAAATCAGATGCATGGGAGAAAGTAGGTGAAACTTTGAGTTAGGTTATTTGGATAGCGTTCAATGAGGATTCCTCCCTAGCCCTGCTTATTTTGTTTTTATTGTGGCTGCTCAAGGATACCAAGTGCTGTTCATGAGTCATCTCGATGTGTGAATCATTTGGAAATGTCTCCTCTCCAGTGTCAGAGTTAGATAGGACCATGTAGCAATTTTCCTCAGGAAGAAGGAAAAAGACTGACCAAGTAAGGCCCATTCTCCTGTAGACAGCACTCAGGACGCCATGATTTGTCTCCCATCTTGTGCTCTGCCTTTTTCTGTTCCTTGCAGACGCCCCAGTACCACCTGGAGGCAGCCATGCTTGTGTCAAGCTTTCATGGTTACTCACTGAATGCTTGCAGCAAAGATCAAATGTTTGAACTGAATGAGCATCCCATCCTTAGCCAACTGAGCTTAAAAGACCCCTTGGGATTCTTGCTTGTGTGGGAATCAGTGTCAGCTTGCTTGGTTCTGTTCATTTCAGTAGGTTTATGTACTTGTAGATAACATAGGTTGATATACTAACTGTACTTCAGTAAGTTTATGTGCATATTATGCATATCACGAATACATGATATGTATCTGATTAGTTCTTCGTCCGTCCCCCCCCCCCCAGTTCTGTCTGCTTTACAGCCATTCAGGGTGCAACCAAAGAAATTTCCAGCCAAATTTAAGTTTAAATTTAAATTTAAGAGGCGTTAAGGACAAATTAGTGTTGACTGATTTCTGCCACTTCCACCACAGCCCACCCAACCCCCTCTCCCAGGCCGTAAACAAGTGTCAAATGTGATAGTCTTCGTATTTTTAAACCTTGCACATCATCTCTTCCCTTCTGCTTGGACACGAGCGCTTCATTTGAAGGATTTGGCCACAGCAGGACTTTTGTATGCTTTTCCAGTCATTTTGTATCAGACTTGATCCATTCTTTGCTGCCTTCCAGTCTTGCTCCTTGTCCCTCACACTTGGGGACTCATATTCGTCCTCGTATTCTTCCCAATAGTTGTAACTGGCAATAACTTAAGTAACTTAGTGATTTTGATACCAAATTATCTTTGACAATAAGCCTTCCAAAAGGGGGGGATTTATTTAGAAAGGAAATTCTGTTGTGTTTCAATAGATAAGCTACTGAATATCTGGGCAGAGTAAATCTAACCCTTACATTTTAAGGGATTCTACAAGGTGTGCAAAACTCCATCCATGTACACTGGATGTTCAGATTCAAAATTTAGCACAATGTTTTGTCGCAGGTGGAATAACTGGCTCTGTTTTATCTGAATTGCCCATTGTCCCTGGCTCTTCCGCCCACAGTCTGCTTTTTACCCTTTTGACACCTTAGGTTTCTTGTGCAATTTAGCACGTGCATTTTGGAAGCAGTCTTTTAAAAAGGATAGTAATGCATCATCTTTAGAAATAACCAGCATGAAATAGGAGGAAGTATAAATGACTATTTTCACAGATTTTGAAATAACTAATAGCTTTGGATTTTTGCATACAGGCTTTATAGGTACATGAAATGTGCTGGTATCAAAAGCAATATTAGGTGCTTCATCTGAAAGTTGTTTAATGCCTTGCTGAACTTCTGAGGTTGGGAGAACTGGGAGCTAAATGTATAATGAAACCAACTCAGTTTTGGTCAGTTCTCTTTCTTTCTCAAGCATTACCTTTAGCCACCAAGAAGCAAAGTATCTGACTGTACTCAGTGTCGTTTTCTTGTTTCCCATTGCTGTCTGGCATTGCTGTTCTTTGCCACAACTGGAGTCCTCATGGAAAATTTCGGAGCGGTAACTTCTCCACAGGAATCAAGGGTTCTGGTTCAAGCCTCGTGGCAAACCATCTAAATGTCTTGCAGAGTCAAGTGATTCCCCCGCATGTAGTTGATGTTAAAATAGTGAGGATTTGCAAGAGCAAAGATTAAAGTGCTCTGCTGTCTTTTTGTGGAGGAAACATAATGGCCTATAAAATGTTGCCTATACTGTTTAGCAGCCTTAGAAACTGATAATGGCACATTTCTCAGCAATAATCCAAATCATGCAAAGACGTGTGTGTTTAATGGATTCATAATGAAATTGAGGAGATTAACTTGAACAATTTATCTTTCTCTAGTTGTGCTGATAACATACCAGGACAAAAAGGCATAGCGTAGGCTCAACCCTAAGGGTGTTTTGTCAACCTGTAGAGAACTGCTTCCATTCAGTATGTATTGCAATGTTAATGCTTTTAAAGACATGTTGAATTGGTTTCATAATTGATCCTAAGAAATGTCATGTGAACTTTATTTTTTTCCTTAAAAAAAAATCAGCCTGACATTTCTAGACCAATGGCTCTGTTCAACACCTAAGGGAGACTGAGTAGGAGGCACTTCCGGGGAAAGCTCTACGTTCTTTAAAATATGTGTCATAAATGTCTGCATTTATAAGAAGTCACTTTTCAAATATGACTATAACAGATGTTTACATTTTAAAAAAAGATACCAATCGGCAATGTTTTTAACAATTCTATTTTTGAAAGAGATTGCCCGGAGTTAAAGAACAATATTGAACCTGTACAGCTTAGCCCACAGCAAATTCGTGTCATGGGATCCCAGTGAAAATGCTATCAGTGCAACGCACGTTGGTCCGCTCTTGTGCAAGCTCCTTTAAATCAACAGGAAGCACTCGTGAGCCATGTCTTGGCACGCTCTTTTTTATTTCCATGGGGTGTGCCAGGAAAGATCCCTGCTGGGATGCGGCCTGTATTTTCCAATGGAATTGCTGTCACAGCCTTAACCTATAGTGTTATATATGATGGTGCTTATAAATACATGTATATGCATGGAAGTGGGTGAGTCATTTTCAGACAGTGTTTAAGCAAAGGAACTGGAAGTCCTATAGACCTGTTGCATACCAGTTATAAGGTTTTTGTATTTCTCATCATCCCAATATCTAAACTCAGTAACACATTAAGAATAGTAGGCCTCAATCTTGGTTAGATTATAGTTCACGTCTTCCTTATTTTCCCTCCCCCCACGAAGGAGGCCTGTGAGGATGTAGGATAAGGGTGTTTGCAATGTGATAGAATGAAAGTGATTGTTAATATTTGAATGTGGTGGTAACATATCTTGACTAAATAGTATTTAGTGGCCATGTTTCCATATCCCAGGCTTTTTTTCAGTCTTTTTTAAATGTCATGCCTTCCCCCCACCCCCGCCTCTTTTTAGTAAAGCACTTTCCCAGTTGCTTTGCATATCTTTTGGAACAATTCTTCTTTCCTTGCTGACCGCTGGCCTGACTGACGAAAGTCGGAGTCCAGCATTGGCAGAGTACCAGGTCAGGGAAAAGATGATGAAACTTCAACATAAACGTAGTTTAGAACTAACCATTTGGAGTTCATTTGTTTACAGTTGACCTAGGCACACTCGTGTGTTTGTGACGTCAAATGCGCCACCAAAATAGAAGAGAAAAAGTGTACACAAACTGGTTTCAATTGATATTGTTTTGCTTCTCTCTTAATTTCAGGGGATGCTCTTTGTTCATATCTTTACATCTGCTATCTCAGGTCCCTTTAAAACTGAAATGCTTCAGGGATTTTTAATGCCACTTGATGATGGCAGACCAAATGTAATATTTATATGCAATGAGCTATTAGTTTTTTGTATTGTAAAAAATGTAAATTTGTAAAAAAAATTTCTTAGAGATTTTTGGGAGGGAGGGGGAGTGGGGGAGGGATGCCACTTAATGTAATTTAGGATGTTTCATTTTCCAGCTGTGGGATTATCTTAATAAAAAAAAACTCATTCTCATGTTTTTGTTCTTCCTATTTCATTGAACTAGTGTGAAAGAAAAATGAGATGCATTGATGGTAAATCATACCTAAGGTGCAGTGGAGCAAATGGATTCAAATGCCAGGCTGCTGAGCCTTTGCCATTCGCATGTGGCGGTCTGCCGTGTCTTGGGCCGGTCCTGGGAGAAGAAGCGTTGGGGATTGTCGCAAGGCAGTGAAGAGATCTCTGTGCGCAGGTCGCCAGTCCATTAATGCCATTCCGCATTCACTCGGACGGCAAGGAGGTTACCACTCTGTGAGTGCTGTTCTTCCCAGCCACAAGAAACGCTCGGAGGTCTAGGCTGCTTTGGCCACCGAATCGGGGGCTTGTCCCCCAGTAAGGTAAAGGTAAAGGTTTCCCCTTGGCGTGAAGTCCAGTCATGCCTGACTCTCGGGGGCGGTGCTCATCTCCCTCTCCTGGCCGAGGGAGCCAGCGCTTGTCCGCAGACGGTCTCCGTGGTCGTGTGGCCGGCATGACTAAACACCGAGGTGCAGGAACGCTGTTACCTGCCCACCAAAGTGGTACCTTTCCATCCGCTTGCATTTGCAGGCTTTCGAACTGCAAGGTTGGCAGTTCGCCCCTTTGTGCTCAGGAAATAATCCTGCAAGTACCAGTTGGTGAGGGGCAGAGTGCCCCCTGCCAGTTTTGCTTTCCAGAAGCTTCTGTTTGGCTACTACAAGAACGGGGGGGGGGGGGGTGATGGAATAGATGGAATTTGTGAGTGGTTCAGTCCCGCCCCCCCCACGGAGTGTGTGTGTGTGTAAATGTTTCTCAGTGGTGAAAACAAAAGAACCAGCATACAAAGGAATAAGCATATTTAAAATCAAGTAAAAGCAATAATGTCATGGCTAGTCATTTTTTTAAAAGCTGCCTTAAAGCAGTAATAACTTTAGCAGCTGCCACAACCAAAGCAATGTTGGTGCCTTTTCCAGCAACTGGCAGGGAATTAATTCCGCAGAGAACTTCAAATGGTGCTCAGGGAACCACTGGAAGAACCTTAGTGATCTACTCGCCCTTCTTCTCCCATCTGTTAAATATGTGGCCCTGAGAAGGTCTGCTGTTTGGCAGATAAAACACCTATAAATAATCCCTCTTCACAGTTGTCTTTTTGGAGACAAGAATGCCTAAATGAATAAAAGCAACAGTAATCTGCACGTAATCTCAACTGTGGTATTGATGGTCGTGCCTGTGGTGCCTGTAGGTTCTCCACTTGAGACACCTGGCCTTTTAATGACCTCCATGCAGAACCTAGCAGAGAAGAGCATCCCTTACCCAGCCCTGCCCCACAAACCCAGCTTATGCAAGACCTTCAGATTTCCATGAATGACACCCTGAAACAATTCAAAATATGCAGCACCCTTTTTTGAAACAGTGGTCCATAACCTTGGATTAATATACTTTCCAACCCGACCTGTGACAGGATGCATTTTCTTCAAAGGGGCTAGACCTTCTGGGTGTGTGGGAAATACCTGTGATCTGGAACCTTGCTTTTGAAAATCTGGATGGATTTCATGTGTATGGAACTCAACAGGAACCTCCTGATTTGTCCTCACATGATGCCTGTCTCTGAATTCTGTTAAGTATCAAGGACAATCAACGCCGGGGTGCCAAAGACCTGAGGATGCCAACAGTGGTGCTGGCCTTTGATGCTTCTGCTGCATGGATGGAAAGATGCCTCTGAACATGTGTGCTGTGTATTTTGCCAGTGGCATGGCCCCCTCCATCCCTCAGTCGCACCTGGAGCAGGAGGGGCTGCCGGGACAGAGCTGCATAGATCCGAACCTGAAGTTGCCACTGTGTTCAAACTTTAGTCCTGAGTGCTCCTAGGTTTACTCATTTTATTTGCCAGCAAGATTCTTCTGTTGCATTTAATGCTATCCTCTGCAATAATAATATTAACGGAGCATTTCCCATCTCCTTGGTTTCAGCCCACGCAACCGGTTGATTAGAATGACTCTGTGAAGCTCGTTGTGTACCTAAAGGGCAAGAGAAATCTCTCATCAGTGCCACCCCCCAACCATCTCTATAAATGCTTCTGAAAATAGATGAAGTACGTCATGTTTGCCACGGCTCTGAAGTACATCTTCTTTCTGGAATACATCTAATCCTTTAGATGAAAATGATTTGTCACATCTGCTGAAACTTGATGGAGGTTTTGTTCACACCCCCCACGCTGGCCTCCTCTCCTATTTCCTTGCTTAAAGTCTTGCAGCTCATTCAGGCCAGCTTGGGCATTGTAGGAGAAAACGGGGGCCCTTACTCGCTCATCGTTTCATATCATGCTGAGTGTTTTGCGTATTTTGTGAATGGGCTATAGAACGGGCTGTGCAGTGTGATACAAAAGTTAAACACAAGGTGTCCTGGCATAAGAAACAGAAACTTGTAAACTCGACTTATAAGTTGATGGAGAACTAAAGGAGCTAAAACGAAAGGGCTGATGGGCTTATTGTGTAATCTTTCAAGCTCCCCATCAATGGAAAGGTACCTCCCCTTTCTGCAATCTTTTTGTAGTGTTCTAGGAAAGGACAAAGTGTTTGCCCATTGTGCATTGTCCCTGTTGCCGAGGCAACGAGTCCAGAGATCCTGGCTTTGCTCTGCTAAGCTGGCAGCGTGCCACGAAACTGGCAACACACCGCTGTGTGGCAGAGAGCAGGATCTGTCTCTCTGCAGTGTGATTGCCGCTTCTGAATGGTCACAGAAGAGGGGAAAAGGGGCACCAATTTGCATTTGCCGGTTTATATGTATCGATGCAAATACAGGCAATTTACATGGATATGCAGTGTATAGAAATGCCACGGTGTGGAAGACACGGACCAGGGACGGGACCAGTGTGCCTTCCTTAAGCAGCCATCAAGGCCTGGCGTTTCCTTCTGATGGACTTGGATTGGCCAGCCTTTCAAAAAGAGGACTGTCCTCTGTAAAAGAGGACACACTGCTGCCTTATCTGCAATAGAAATCACTTCTGCTTCTGGCTTCAGACTGAGGGCGTGTGAGGGATCCAGTTGGCTGCAGTAATGTCAACGCACCATCGATGCTTTGTGTTGAACTGCGACATCTTACTATGTGGAGGGTGAAGAGAGGACAAAATCATGCAGAAATTGTGCCAAGGTGCAGCGTGGGGTGGGGTGGGGAGGGTGCTCCTAGCAGACCTATCCTGGGCCCCTGAAATCCTGCCTGAATCGGGGAGTTGCCTTCTTAATTTCCCACAATGCTTCTGTTGCTGCTCCAAAGCATTGTGGGAACCCAACACAGCAGCCAATCACTGGGCACAGATCAATATACCACTGCTGCCCCCTCTCCTATCAGCAAGCTTACTAATGCAGAGGTTACTCCCTGGGCCCCATGAACAGGGAATGCTTAAAGCACATCTGAGGATTTGGTGTGGCAGGGCGTGGCGAGCCATGTCCTTCCACATCGGAACATGTCAATGCAGAAATGGCAAGTGCAGCTTCTGTGTGTCCTAAGCTGTGGAAAGAAAACTCCATGGGAAAGCTCTTAGTACAATGCCAGTTCAGGGGCAGGGACAAAGAAGGAAATTCAGTGTCGGGGGACACCGCTAAAGGAGTTGAAAATAAAACTGCAGGTAGCCACAATGTCGCACTTATTGTCTTTTGAACTGTACACCCAGGTTTTCCTCCAAGCAAACCAAAGTGGCTAACGGGCAAGAAATCAACATGGACAGGTCCTCACAACAGTGCACCCAAGAAAGGGAGAACGGCAAAAACCCAAACTACAACACGAACGTCAATCCAGACGCCCCGCCTGTTAGAATGAAGAGACGTTGCCAGTATAAAGGAAGCCCATCCATTGAAAATAAATGGAAAGCGGGACAGTACAACACAAGATCCCCCATGGAATTCAACAGGCCTCCCATGCACTTTGTTTGTGCTTTCAGGGGAGGGGAGGGGAAGGGAAGGGATCTCAGCATCTAAGCTGATGAAATGCTGCAGACATGAAATGCTGCAGACAGATGCCAAGACTGTATTTTTCTCTCATAGTATAAGGATGCTGGGCTTGCACAATGACAATGGTGGCAGTAGGATTGCCTTGTGGTTAAAGTGCTGTCCTTGAGGGAGAGAGAGCTGAGTTCAAATCCTTGTTTAGCACAAGAGTTACTTGGTAACCTTGAAGCAGTCTCTCTCTCTCTCTCTGTGTGTGTCTGTCTGTCTGTGTCTTTGTGCCAATCTACCTCACAGGGTTGTTATAATGCCCATGTGAGCTGCTTTGAGCTACTGGGTCCAAGATAGGATCGGAATTGGATGGAGAGAGAGAAAGATTCAGAGCAGGCAAGGTGGGGAAAATACTAATCCAAGCACTGCAAACGTGAATGCACTGCAAGATGATGTGATGCCCTTGGATCTCACCACTTTTTTAAAGGATTAGGCAATTTCAGGCAGGCAGACTTACACCTTGGCCAGCATTAGGATCAAATGCATTCGTCTGTGACGGGATAAAGTGCCCTCGTGCTATATGACGTTAACAGAAGCATAATTTCCTTGTTTGAAAGAGGGTATCCCAAAACCAGGTTGCCACCACTGGAAAGCCCTCTTCCTGGTAGCTCAGCCGTGCTTCGTTTTTCCCATGAGAAAACCTCTCTTTCATACTTTCACGAGTTAAAGCACCCGGCTGAGCTTGCGGGGCTCGGTGCTCAGCGCTGGAACCAGGCGGGACCTTAGTCGAAGCAGGCACTGCACCTGTGCAACATTTTGCAGGCCTTGCCCCTGGAGAGCCAGCGCGCGGCTGGCGCTTGTCCAGGTGCGCAGCTGCTCCTCAAATATAATTCAGGACCCTTGGCAAAATGCCCTCTCTGCTGAAGGGGGTTTGAAGACCTCAAAAGAAAACCCATGCATACTGCAATGAGGCCCAAAACACCCCTGAAGTGGGATCTCACCCTAAATCGCCAGAAGTTAATCATTTTGGACTTTCCCCAGCCTGAAGGCATGCTCCTCTGATCAGAACACAACACTCACTTCCTGCAATTAAATATAATGATATAAAATATAGACTTCGACCCAGTACAGTTGGCTATTTTCAGAAAAGGCTACACAGTGCCGTGTCCAAAATTAATTTGTCACCCTCACCTTCTATGCCTATAATAAGAAAGGTCTCTGCTCCCTGCAAGACCCCCTATAGATCACATGCTCCCCAAAATTGTTGATGAACATCTGGTAGGCCTTGAGGCAGCCCCCATGTGCAGGGAAGGCTCACAGGACTGAATGGCCTTTTATAACCTGGAAAGGTGTTGTGCAAGATGCTTCGGGTGCTTTGGTGGCAAGGAGGAGGGTGGACCCGCCCAGGTGCTAAGTTGCCAGCCTGCTCGAATGTAGAGCTTCCAGATGTTTTGGGGCACAAGCACGGCTGTGTGGCTGGAGATGGAGAAGACCCTCGCAGCCCCTGAAGGAGCACCAGCTGCACAGATCAGTTGATCACCATAATTAGTCTCTGCTGGAGTCTTTCTGAAACTTGTCCCCATGTAGTCCCACTCTGTAAAGAAAGAAACAATAGTTCCCCAGGAAGACAAGGGCGTGATATAATGAAGCTGACTCACTGCATGAAGAAGGGGAAAAATAATAAAAGCTGGCCTGAACCTTCTGATCAGCTTACTGGCACGCTGTAAAAATACACCTCTAATTTAGCCTCTTCATCTCCCAGCTTGTTCTCTCACGCTTCCTGCTTTGTTTTCTGTGTATTTATGTTTATTTCTAGCCTTTCTCAAAACTACGCTCCCCCCTCCCTCCATTCCCAGCCGGTATGCCAATGCTTGTATTTTATATTTGCAGCTATGGGCAGCTATGAAGACTTGCTTGTCTGACTCGGTTCTTCCTCACCCAGCCAATAGTGCTTCTTTCATCTTCTCCAGCTGCCCTGATTTACAGGACATCATTGGCACCAGTGTCTGGCATCCTTGGGCAGCTGCCAGGGTCCCATCCCCACTGGAGATACCTATCCTGGGGCCCATTTACTTTGATTTCCTGTCTTGGTGCTCTGAGTAGCACCATGTAGCTGCATCCAGCCCCTATTTCATTTTCTTACGTTCTGTGAGAATGTCACAGTGGGGAATTGTGGGAAATTAAAATGGCAGGCAGGCCCAGCAGCTAGCAGCATCCTTGCTGCGTTCCACCATTGCTAGGAAGTTTCACTGGGGCCCTGGCGATAGCCGTGTCAGTCATCCTCCTCTGGGTACAAGATGAAATTCTGCACAGGGACTGGAAATACTTTGGGTGCTACCCCAAGATTCTTGGCTGTCCATAATCTTCCACACTCAGAGGATTACAGCTACCCAATCGAGCATGGGAAGAACACAGGGCCTGCATTGCCTCCAAGCTTCTCCTGTCCCCCAAAAGACAGCGATGGGTGACTTTGGTCATAGGACCATGCCGTTTGCTATAGGTTCCACTTGTACCATCAGGTTATGGTTCTGTAAGACCCACTGGAAAATATTGTCTGTTCCCTGAGCTGACTGAGTGTACCTGCACCTTCCCTTTATCTTGCTGAAATTCTTTAGCCATGCTGGATTTTTTTAAAAGAACAAAGAAAATATTATCAGCTCTTGTATTGTGGAAGATGAGTCATTCTTCACGGACTTGCATTTCTATAGAATGTGACCCTTCCTGAGCCAGAACACACAAACAGTGCTAGCATTGATACATCCTGAATCTTCCATTTGGCCTTGACTTTATCCCGTCAGCAAGTGTGAATTCCATCAACACAAAACAATTGCTTTGAAATAAAAACAACTAATACTGGTTGAGGACAAAGGATCTATGCCAAGCATCTTAGTTTTCTTTGTTGGCGTTAGCAGCCAGCACCTCTGGGGCTGCTGGCACCCCGATGTCCCACCAAACCCTGCTGACCATTGTTTGCCTTGGATCCCCCTTCACTTACTTTTTTAAAATGGGCTTCCATTCCGATTTCTCACAATATTCCAGAGCGATGCTGGGTTTAAAGGCATTGGAATAAACCAAGAAAGGCTGGGCCAGCCTTTGCTTGAAAGGCCGGGCAAGATAAAGTGTATCAAACCGGTCTGTGGATGTAGTTCTGGGCAATGTTTAACCCAGAACTACAGCCACAGAGTGGTTGGATACAACATCACTGAAGGAAGGCCAGTGTGAAGAGTTTTCATGACCTTCTTCAGATCCTGCAAGGATGGGACCTGGGAGGCCCTCAATGGAAGCTTATTTCAGCCCCTCCAGAAAAGGTCCTTGTTCGTATGGTCAGCCTCTGTCATCTTTCCTTGGGTTCTAGTGAGGATTGGGCCATCTCCATCTGTCAGAAAGACTTAGAGGACAGGAGATAAGAATGGAAGGAAAGTCATTCTGGATCAGAACAGGGGTCCATTGGTCTGGCAAACTGGCTGCTCCCAGCATCCCACAAGCAGCGTGTGGAAACGGCAGCCCTTCCTGCCCAATGGCGCCAGCAACTGGTGCACCTGTCCCCTCACCTGGTGGGCAGGTGATCGGCGAGAGCAGCAGGGAGCAGTCCTGGCTGCCCAGATGAGCAACCTATGGAAGGCGCAGCACATGCAGGGGCGTCTTGCCAAAACTCCTCAGAGCTGGAGCCAACCTTATTATTGTGCCAGAGCAGGGATGATTACGACAATGAAAACAGCACTAAGGTAAGCACCACTGCACCAATCAAAATGAGCCCTTGGAGATCAGTTAACAGACCTGCCATATCGTTTTTGTTTTACCTCTTAGATCTTTGTGCAGGAGGCACAAAACAGCTCCCTTCTTACGTGTCGCTCCATCTTGCGTAATATATTTTGATTCTGCCAGTCCTGATCATGGTCAAAGAGCCAACTTCCTACATTAAAGCAAAAGCTATCACTTAAGGACTAGTAAGTAGCTTTAACCACAATGCCCTCCCCTAAAGGAAAAATCCCCACAACCAAGCCAGCAAGCCGAGCTGTTCAAGGACGATCACTTATTCAGTCCTGGGCACAGAAGTGGCTGGAATGGCGTGAAACGCCCACGCAAACACCCCTCTGTATTCCAGTTCTGTCCAGCTTGCATTTGCTTCAGACATTGGTAGTTAAAGTAGGCAGGGGGTCCCTTTGGGAGTCAGCTGAGTCCGGTTCGCAGCATTTCCTCCTCCTTTTCATAGTTCCCTGTGGCTGTTCTCAGAAAGTTCATTTCTGCAGCTCACGTTCCACCATTGGGCCGCCTGCCATGCTCACCTGACTTGGAATCTAGTCCAGCCGGTCTGACTTAACCCTGTGATACGGAGAGTAAATGCAGGCTTGGAGCTCTTTTGCCATGGTCAATATTTGCAGTAGCTTTAGGGAGGGAAGTTTGCTTTTTCTTTCTTTCTTCCTTTTCGAAAAAGTGGCGTTTGCTGACGCAAAACTTCTGCAGCTCCCTCTCCAGGCCCCATAAAGGCCTCTGGGCGTGTCTTCTTTGCCTCCCTTCACACAGATGTTTCAGCTTCAAGCTTCAAGGAGCGCTGAAGATGAAGGACCGGTTAGAGGAACTGAGGAACCGAGTGAATGAAGATGGGGATTCCTGGGATCTGGATGATCCTCTTTCCTTCGACAACCCCGTTTTCCAAGAGGACGAGGAGAACCCCATGAGCAAGGTTTTTCAGGAAATCTCCAGCCTCTCCATGGCTCTGGAGAAGCTGGAAGAGTTATCGGAGAACATTGACAAGAAGCAGCAGCAGGTCCTTTGCTGCACCACTGAGGAAAGCATCTGCGAGCAGAAACAGGGGCTGAGCAAGATGAAGGACAACTTCACCAGGGAGGCCAAAGCTCTTCAGCCAAAGCTCAGCACCATCCAAGAGGCTCTTATGAGAGACGGCGAGCAGTGGCTGGCTGTCAGCCGCATCCGGCACTGCCAACTTTCTGTCCTCATCAACCGCTACCGGGAGATCATCACCCGCCATTATGCCAAGGAGACTCAGTATGTGCACAGGCTAAAAGAGCAGATCCAGAGGCAAACAGAGCTGGCTGGCCTGAAGCTCCAGGAAGAGGACGTCAGGAGACTGGTGGAGAGCCCTGCAGCACCATGCATCGTTGGCCAGGACCTGGAAGTCCTCAAAGCAAAGCAACACCTGGCCATGGTTCAGGTGCGCCACCAGCAGTTACTTGACTTGGAAGCCCAGATCGGCGAGCTGAACGCCCTCTTCCTACACATGGAGGTCCTAGTTTCAGAACAGCAGGAGACCATCAACAGCATTGAGTTCAACGTCCTGCGCACCCTCGACTACATCTCCCAGTCCAACGAGGAGGTCAAGAAAGCCCTCAAATATGAGCGACACTCCCGCTTCTCTGCTGTGTTGTCCACAGTGCTGGGTCTTTGTGCCTGCTGTACATGTGTCTCGTGCTTGGCAACTCCCAGTGTGGTGGGCTGAACCAAAACCTGGGGCACAGGCATTTTCTCAAAGGAGACTGGTGATGCCTTGGAGCATTGGATGTGTATCGCAATCCCAGGTGGTCCTCCGTGCATCTTTCGGGTAGACCGAGGCATCTGGAGATGCAGGTCAACGAGTTCTTGAGCTCCGCTGTTGGAGCGCCACCTCGTATTCAGTTATGAAGAGGGCAAGAAAAGGTCTGCTGCATCGGTCCAGGGGTCAGTGGTTAAGTTGAACATCCTATCCGAAAAGCACATCTGTTCCAGAAGTGCAGATGCACGATGCCCAAGTGCTTCTGGGAAGCCCACAGGAAAGTCAAATCATCATGGGTTCCCAGTACTTACTATTCCATGGTATCCTGCGCTGGTACACCTGGAGTTTCAGTTTAGTTATTTATGGCTAATGGAGGTGGGTGGATTTATCTTCCACGTGTTTGGCTTATTACGCTTCAGTTTCCCGCCACTGCTCTTAATAATGACATGACAGCCACAACGGTGTTAGTTTTACAGCTCTAGCACCTCTCCGTTAGAGGGGTTCAAATCAGAAAGCCAGCTGGGGTCAAACCAGCCCAGAAGCATCTAAAGAAGTATCCTTGACTCATTTTCCCAGCTGGTCACAATTACACAGTCATGAAATAAAGGTGCTTTTGCACACACTTCAAGGCACGCTCTCCTCTTTGGTGTCTTTCCGTGTGCCAAAATTGAGATCCGGACCTACTTCAGGCAGCAGCTGATGGAGGTTGTGGCAGAATAAAGGGATGGAGGGACTGTGCCTCAAGGATCAGGGATACTTTTAAGAGTGGACTAGGAGTGGCACCCGAGGTGGGCATGGCTAGGTACCCACCAAGGTCTTGGAGCTCCCTGCCTCTGCTCTGCCTCTTTGCCACTGCAGCCTGCTTCCTCCCTTGCCTCTCATTCTGGCTTGGGCAACAGAGGTAAGAAGGACAAGCGGGAGGTGCCAGGAAGCCGACTTGCTCTCCGGCCCTCTCCCTGCATGGTAACCATGTTGAGAAAGTGCAAGAGAAGAGCAGGTTTGTTTGTTTGTTTGTTTGTTTGTTTAGGGAACTTCTATGCCGCCCCATTCGCCAATGCCTCGGGGCGGCTCCCAACCATAGGTTGCCGGTGACTGTGGAGGTGAGGAGGTAGACCTGCTGGATGTTGCTCTCAAGGACTCGCAAAAGCTCGAGCTGGTACTGGGCAAGTGGGAGGCAAATTTGAGTCTCTCAGTAGATCTTGGAGTGATCTGCTGTAGGTCAGCAAGGATTTTCTGACTCCCGGTTGTTTAACAGGAGTGTTGACTGCAGAGTGATGCGTAGCAGAAAGAAAATGCAACACCCCTGCTCTGTTTTGCAATGATCAGATAACCTGGGGCAGGGTGGAGTGATGGACAGACAGACAGATAGACGGACAGACAGACAGACAGACGGACACACAAACACACACACACATTTTAGGTGAGCTCTAAAGAGATTGCATTATGGGCAGCATGCAATTCAAGCGGGTGCTTTTAAATTAAGGTATGCCTTTGTTCATCTCATGGCACATTTACTTTTAATGGCTGTATGTTAGGATTTTGGACTTCTGTAGGATAGCTGGCAAAATATTACTCATCTCTTTTTATTACTTTAAATAGTTGAATTGAATAAGAATGGGTTTACCATTTTTGCACACAACCTCAGAAAATAATTCTCATTTGAAGGGAAGTGGCATCTGGTCCTCCTCCTGCTTGCTACCACTGCTGCCTGGGCCAAAGCGAGAGGCAGGGGAGGAAAAGCAACGTCAGAGGGCCACTCCAGCAAGTCCCTGCTGAGGTCTGGGCCTTGAGAGGAGCCTTGCCCGGCCTACCCTCCACAGAGGCCCTGATCGTCTGGCATGATCAGGGCCTGAAAACGCCCTGCACACACGTGGGACGCACACTGCCACTTGGCTGTATGCTCTGATGGTGTTTGCCCACAGCACGGCTGGGGTCAGCACAAGATTTTCCTCAATAGCAGGCAGTTTGCCTTTAATTCCAACGGGAAGAGCAATGCTAGTGTTAAACATATAGCATCCGGTTCTTTCCCGAGCCGCCCCTCGATTCACTCACTGGGCAGGATTCATTGTAATAAGTGTAGCCAGCAAGGCCCTGGATGGCTCATTTTCAGAGAGAGAGAACCGGCCAAAGAGCTGTGAACCCTCCATACGTCTTAAAGACAGCTCACTGCTGTGCAAATGCTTTGCTATATAAATTAACCTGTTTGCAAATTGGACGCACACAATTCAGCACACAGGAGAGAGCCCTATCAAAAAGGATTAAACTTAGCAGTCCATGCATTTATAACTGGCTTGGCAGCTCTGAGAATATTTCTGAAATGCTGCAGGAAACGAGTCTTTGTGTGTGAGACGGAAAGTCTGAAATCCTTTCTTGACATTTAGAGAAGAAAATCGTGCCTCTATAATATAATCAACCAACAGAGCTGGCTTTGAAGGAAACAAATTTGCCTAACCCACGTCAGGACTGAGCTGCAGGTTCTCTCCTCTGGAACATTTTCATGTAGTGAGTGGATACATGACTAGCACCTGATTTGTAAATAACAGTGTTCAAAGGGAGTGTCAATGGCTTTGTAGCCAAAATCTGAGACCAGGTGAGAGGGTGACAAGAAAGAACTGTTATGAGGAAAACCCGAGGCTTGCAGCAGTAAACCACTAGCTTTCTTTAACCTCCATGGAAATACACCCCAATAAACAGGTTACTGGGATCTGAGTGTGTTTAGTAACCACACCATGTTGAGCTGGATATTTTTGGGAATGGGAACATTGAGAAGAAAATGGGAACAGAGGAAATGAGTGGGATATGCTGGAGAAGGCCGCCACTGGCAGGTTGGAGCCACAAACAGATTTTCCCAACCCTTCCCACTGCTTTGCTATTTAGCAACCCAGGTTGGTTAGCCGTTGGTTGGTTGTGAGTGTTTTGGGGCAAGTACCTGGGCTGCCAGCCACACATCTGCTTGCTAAAACAACCCAGGAGCAGTGCATTCTTGGGTAGTTCTGTGTGATGCCCAAATCTGGAACTCTGCCTTGCTGGGAAGAACCCCACTTCCATGTTTTAACCTGTTCCACTACAGACTGAAGCAGAATAAGAAGCTGTCTGCCATTCCATTAAACAGCAGCGGGACATTGTGAATATGTGATGGAAATCACAGAAAGGAGGGAAACCCCAAAACTCACGCGCAAAGGATGCTGTGAAGAATCCAGAAGCACAGACCTCAGTGAAGTGCCTAAGGCTTGTGTAAAGAAGCCTCACAACTCAAGCGGAGCTGTGTAAAAATGGCCTCCTGAAATTCTCCACTCCATTTGTAGGCAGAGAAATTGAGGGGACCGATTCACCAAACTTCTGCAGAGGAAGAAATTCTGGCAGATTCATCACTGGCTGGCTCTCCCATGCAGGAATCATGTCACAGGGTCTCTCTTTGCTCCTGCTCCCCGTAAGTGGGTCTTGGCTCCATGGGGCTGTGGAAGCCTTGGCCTCACTTCGCATGCATCGTGATGGAGGGATGTGTGGGTCACAGTGCAGTGCCCAGCTCCGTGGGAGAGAGGGAGTCAGTGCTGAGGGAACGTCTGTCCTCCGGTTCTCGCACCATGAACGAGGCCTCACTTTCAGGGTGTTTAAAATGGAGTTGTGAGGAAACTGGATTTTCAAGTTCTCTACCCAATTTGTGGGCAGAGTGCTTGGAGGAACAATTTCACTGCATTTCTCCAGGGGAAGGAGCCGTTCTCCAACTGCTTCGCACGGGGAAGCAGCTTTCTTTTCTCCTAGGGGATTTTGGGCTTTGTGCTGCCGACTGGCAACAGTATGAGCGGCGTAGGCAGCCTATACGCCCTTTTGCAACCTCCTCAAGGCAGGTGTGGGGACATCTTTGCATCCAGTACCAGAGGAGAGGTGGAGCTACTTTCCCCACTTCCCCACTTTCCCCTTCCTTTCTTCATTTTCATGCCAGATCCTCTGGGTCTTTTATTGCTTATTTTGAAATTCGTTGGTGGCGTCTGAGTGCAAACATGGAGGTGGTCCAGGCTCTGTGTGAGTTTTCTCTCCGCTTTTCTCTGCAGCCTTCTAGGCTGCCTTGCTCTTCCCAATCTGCAAAGGCCTGTGGAAGGAATTACTGCAGCTTGTCTCCTGCTGCAATTTATTCAAAATATGGGAAGCCAAGGAGGCTGCCGGCTGTCGGACAGATGACAGTCCAATCACAGATGGGACACTCATGTGTACAACTCAGTCACCTTGCAGATTAGACCCCCAAGCCTAATCTTTTCAAATGTTATCCGGTCTCGAATTTCATTTTGAAAGGAGGAATGTTGTCCATGGGCTTGTGATGAGTCAAGCACAACTTTGCAACTAAACAACAATGAGGCACAATAGGTATTTATGATATTACCCTTTCAGGGCCAGCCATTTCATAATTTATTTTCTCCTAGGTATTTTAAATGTGAAGGCTGTTCTCGTATTTTAGATGGTTTTTCTTCTGATTATTTTTAATTGCATTTTATTCTTTTAGTTGGATGTTGTCCATCCAGAGAACATTTTGTTATTGGGAAAATTGCAAATGGAATAAATAGAGCAGAATAAAACTGGGATTTTGAATTGGGCCCAGACTCAAATTGATAGCTGGCGAAGTTGCTCCAAGATAAATTAAACATGAGAAAAGGGGTCAACACCTGAAAACAGGTGAATCATTGCATTCTGTACTAGCTGATGCTTCTGAACCATTTTCCAAGGCGATCCTTCATATAGTACACTGAAGTGGTCCAGTTTGCAAGAGTGTCCATTTTCATGCATCAGTGGTGGAACACAGTGATATCTTTGTCCATAATACATCTCTCCTCTTCTAAATGGGGTTCTTGCCCTCACTAGTCAATGAACTCTTTCTCCAACCGAATCAGAAGATTCATTTTAATAACTCCATGCTGAAGTCCACGGAGCAATATTTAGTTCTTTTTAACAAATTTGCTTTCAAATCACTACTT